GATGAAAGCGGTCCTCATGTCGGACAGGGTTTTTGTTTTCCTCTTTTAGGAAATTGGAAGAGAAAATGAGGGAACAAGATGTTGTTTTAAATTTAATTTTGGGTGTCCTGAAGGTTTTTGTGGGTATGTAAATGTGTGTGGATGTGTTTGTCTGCTGTAAACATGTGCGTCTAGACAAAGTTGTTGAGTTAAAAGAGCGACCGCACACTCATTAACACTAATGACTCGGGATTCAACCTCCTCCTCCTCCTCCTCCTCTTGTTTTGTTCTTCAGCTTCTCATCGATCCTCTTTTCTCGTCACACACTCTTACAATACGCTGTCGTTTGTCACATTCTGTGTGTGTGTGTGTGTGTGTGTGTGTGTGTGTGTGTGTGTGCAGCTTCAGACTCATGACTTCCTCTTCATCACTAATCGCTCTCATCTGTTGATCTTCTTGATCTCTGCTCTGATCCACTGCAGAGCGCTGAACCCCCCCGAGGAGCAGACGGAGGTGTGTGTGTGTGTGCGTGTGTGCGTGTGTGTGCGTGTGTGTGTGTGAGAAAGAGACTGTGGTTTCAGGGAATCAGGCGGGACAGTAGGGGACTGAGCAGAGTTTGAGGGCATAGTTTGTGGTCTGAGTTTATGGTAAAAGTGTGCGGCTGTGTGTGTTTGTGTGTGACAAACAGTGATTTCGCGGAATAAGCAGGAAATCAGCTGTCCCGTAAAGTTTTTTTTCTCTTATTGTAACAACAGAAGGATGTTTGCTGTTGTTAGGGCGACCCAAACAAACCTCGAACGAAAACCTTCCTGATACTTTTAACGCTCCTAAACTCACTTAAATGTTTTTATTTAAAGTTCATTTTAAATCAAACAAGATAAAGTCAAATTAGATTAGACATAAAAGCCTCAAAGTCACCTCTGAACCTCTGAGTTTTAACGCTGTCACTCTGTTAGGGCAGGTTTCCACTGACAGAAGCCTCTTTAAGGGCCTGTGTCCACTACAGGCATTTTTTCTGGCACAGACAGGGCCTATTTTTAGTTCTCAGCACCTTGAGTGTAAAAACACAATAACTAGTGTTAGTTCTAGTCTTAGCTAATGCTAACCGTACAGAAGATTATAAAATTAACGTAATATCCAGGCGAGAAAGAAACGTCTTTGAAATCTGAAAACGTTGTGAGTGGAAACAGGCCCTAATTTTTCAACAGCGCACTGATACTCTTGTAGATTTTTTTCGTTTTGCTCGTTTCTTTTTTTAAGTGACTTTTTTGGGCATTCTTTTGCCTTTGAAGGACACGAAAACCAAGGAGTGTCAGAAAATGTGGGGTAGAGAGAGCGAGGTAAGACGTGGCAAAAGGTTGAGACTGGGACTCGAACAAGCTACCGCCATGATGACGACCACATAGGATACATTAAACCCTAGGCTATCCGCATCCCCGGGTACAGCAACCTTTGGTACAGATTCCCGATTAGTTCTTGAACTCTTGAAAGAAAAATGGCGACTATCCCGAACAACTTAGTCGCCGAGAGGCTGAGTAGGAGAAAACGGTACCTTGCCTGCAGTGGCGATTGCTCTAAGACTGCAAGGGAAGCCCAGCTTCCCTTAAAATGTCACCCCCCCAAAATAAGAAAAAGTAGTGAAATACATACTGCTGTGTGTACATTTCATTAACTAAATACGTGCTAGAAAGCCTTCATCTTTTGTTTTTGAGGCAGTGTGATAAGAAGCTGATTCTGCATAACTTCGTTCTCATTCATCCTCTCAGCGCCTCAGCGCTTCAAACAGTCGGACGCTGGGCTTCTGCTGACTTCAATGTGGAAGCTCAAAGTGGGTTGTTCCAGCAGCGAAACTAGACGCTCATTGGATAAATGCTGGGCTTTGTCCCGCCCATGGGAAGCCCAGCTTCACTGGAGTTCTATGGCGAGAGGGCGGTCCCGACTTTCTCCCGGACTCCAAGCTTCTGCATCCATGATTGGATGAGCTGTCTGAGGCGAAATCCTTGTTTGATTGACAGCTAAACAAGCGAATCAGCGATCTTGAAGAATAAAACATCTACCAGAGCATTTTCCAAGTCATTCATTCCATTGTTCTCAACTGTTTCGGAGACTTTACCGATCCTCAGCGACTTTTGTCTTTGTTAAAAACGACTGCCGTTGTGTTTGGCGACTCTTTTCAGTTACATACAAATAAACAAATACAATTATGATGTAGGCCAGAAAAATGAGCTTCCCCTCCTTGAAAGACCAGCAGCCGCCACTGCTTGCCCGAGTCCCCAATTCAGCCCCTCCTCATTCATTCACAAAACCTGCCAGGTGAACAGCTGACTTCACGACTACCGGTGCTGACGTACCCCCTCCACCCTCACCGCCTGACTCTCATCCTCATATATAACCACACAACACACAAATACTATAAAGGTCTGGCCCCTACAGTGATCATACGTCCTCTTTTACCCGGATTTGTCCTCTTTTTGGGGGGCTGGTCTTGTCCGGGGGAGTTTATAAAAACCCTCAAATGTCTGCAGTTTTGTACGGAAGTTTTGAGTTTGTGTCGTGTAGACTAACTGAGTTAGAAGCGTGTAAAAAACACTTGACCTGACCCGAAAAACTCAAAATTTACGAAGCGTAACTCTGTGAAGACATGGTGTACCCCAGGGCTCTGTTTTAGGACCATCTTTATTTACACTTTATATCAACAGTGTTAGTTAAAAATGTCCCAAATGACCAGTGTAACTCGTATGCAGATGATACTCTTATTTACAGCTCTACTCTAACGTAAGTCCAGACTCTCTCACACTAACGGGACGTCTCTCATGAATCCACTCTGACCTCGAACTCTGTCCGAACACAGTCAGACTGTTTGTATCACATCGTCTCAGACTTTCGTTATGAATAAGAACGGACAGATTAGAAGTGGATCATGGGAAATCACCTTCTGACTGTTCGTTATAAAATCGTCAGTATACGGAAAAATATGACGAAACTTTGGGATCGACTCGGTTCAATGGACGAGAAAATTTAGGCGTAAATGATGTTTTACTTGAACTCAGTCCATCCAGACGTCCTGATGAGAATCTCATTTCTCTCTCTCTCTCTCTCTCTCTCTCTCTCTCTCTCTCTCTCGTACAGTACCATACAGAGGTCGGACTCTGGCTCGGGAAATCCCATAAAAGAGCGTGTGTCAGCAAGATGACGACGTGAGACAGACTCTTCATCACTGAGTCTAGATCTGCAGTGTGTATACAAACACACACACACACACACACACACATAAATACACACACACACACACACACACTGCACCCCACGCATGGCCCTGGTCCTGACTCAACGCCATAAACCCGCGGTCCCATCATGCTTGGCGGCGGCATCAGCGCTGAGGAAGCCTGGCGTGATGACATGATGTGTGACATCACTCACACGGCACACACACTTTAAATTAACACACTGGCAGCCTGACAAGAAATGTGTGTGTGTGTGTGTGAGAGAGAGACGACAGGCAGGATTCCAGTGGATGTTTTCACACACACAAACACACACACACACACACACACACACACACACTTTACACAAACACCTGCGGGGGGCTGTAAATGATGTCTGTAATTAAACACACACACACACACTCATGCTGCACACTTTATTTCCGCGAAGTCGAGCTTGCTCACGAGACAAAAGACACACACACACACACACACACACACACACTGTGACAGAGCAGCCCTGAGGCCCGTCTGACAGGACAGTTTAGCGGTCTCATTAGCAGAGAGAGGAATGCCAACAGATAATTAACCAGGAGAGATGAAGAGGAGGGAGAGATGAAGAGGAGAGGGAGGAAGAGATGAAGAGGAGGGAGAGATGAAGAGGAGGAAGAGATGAAGAGGAGAGGAGAGAGATGAAGAGGAGAGGGAGGAAGAGATGAAGAGGAGAGGGAGGAAGAGTGTCAGCAGTAAAACACAGAGATGAAATCTTCTCTTTATGGCAGAAATGAAACTGTGTCCTCGTCGTGTCGAACCCAGGACCTTATCAGACACCTGATCAGGTCTGGTTCAGGTATCAGCACTTCCTGGTAAAGATGGTGGTTTTATTTATAGTAAGTTGCTGTTTGTTTGTTTGTGAAGCAGCTGATCTGAGTGTTTGTACCAACATCACTATGAGAAAGTTAAGGTTCAGAGACACGAGACACGAAACGAAACAACACTTTTCATGGTGTTCAGGGGCAAACGTGCAACAAACGGAAAAACTTGTTTGTCTTTTTGATTTTGAGTCGTTTTAATCGCTTCTTTTTTTAATTTTTTATGTATTTCCTTGCATCTGTAAAGCACTTTGAATTGTCTTTTGTATGAACGGTGCTAAACTAATAAACTTGCCTTACCTGAGACTAATTTGCAGAGTTTCTTCTGTTTTGTAGACATGCTTGCCTTTTTTCTTTCTCTAAATCTTTTATTTTAAACAAATTGGGACTATTGATGCACAAATAAACAAAAAATAACTTTTGGTGGTTTGTTAATCAGTTTAAACACAAAATAACACTGAAAAAAGTGCTAAAACTGTTTATTAAATCTTGAAAATAAAAGGTTTTATTGTTTTATGCAAAATATACGCTCATTTTAAATTTTAAAAAGTTGATAAAGAGACAATAAAACAGTAAAAAAGTTCTGTTATACTTTAAAAAAGACAGCTGGAGGAGAAAAGATGTAAGAGGTTTACCACTCTGTGAGAGACTGCGTGAGCTAACAGCTCAACAGTTTTGGGATAATGTCAAAGAATGAGTGGATTTCATTGTCTAGAGAACATAATATCATTCAAAGAGGACCTGGAGAAATCCCTGTACTAAAGGGGGACAAGGTCCAAACCAAGACTGGATGGTCCTGATCTTCAGGGCATTAAAAACAGACAGGACTCTGGAGTAGGAATCACCTCCTGGGTTTAAAATCACTTCCAAAAAGTTTGCTGGATGGTTAAAATAAATCATGAACGCACACAGCTTTAGTTTTAAGAAAAAGAAACTGGAGTCTGAGGAGAGTGAATATTTAAATGAAATCATCTTTATTTAAAGTCTTTCAGGATAACAGTGTCTGCTAAATTACAAGTTATTTTATTTCAGTATGAACAGATGTCAAATAAAAAAGAAGACATGAGGCTGACGCACGATAAAAAACACGGATTCATTATGATCATTACATCCAGAAACGTAATCAGATGAGAGTAACCGAAGTTAGTGTCGGGTCAAAGGTCATGTTTGTTTCTGTCCATGAGCTGAAAATTAATAATCAGAGCATTTATGAGAAGACGGCGGCGGCCGACAACAGCCTGCAGACTTCGTTTTTAAACTCGCCCGCTGTCTCATTATCGACGCCGAGTTCTTAAAATGAAACAAAACCAGATGCTCGTTTAAACTTGGCAACGGACGACATGGCTCGAGCCAAATTTGACAAAAACAGACAGTAAAAGAGAGAAAGAGTGTCGTAGTAAAGGTGGAGAAATTAAACACCTGTTATTGGAAACATGTGAAGAGTTTGGTGTGAAAATCCTGCAGCTCCACCTGCGTGCTCCGCCGTGAAAACATCCAAACAACGTCGACGGAGAGGGCTGCTTTAGTTTGAAGGTTCAGTAACGAGGATCCTGGAAGTGAAGAGCTGAGGTCTCTGCACCTGGACCAGTATTTCACATATTTGGATCTTTTAGTGACGTACAGGTACAACGTTTGTCCACAAAGCTTGTAACATAATTTTACCTCCCAAACTGAGGAGCTGCTGGTCTTTTTATATTCGTAATTATCAGCCGACCAATCACCAGCAATGAAAGGAACAAAGAGGGTGGACCTAAGCTAAGCGGAGTTGAGTGAAAGGGGCATCCAGCAAACTGAAGAAAACAGACCGAAGTTTTAACGCAGTACAGCCTCTGCAGGAAAAAACAAGTTTGCTGTAAAATCAGTCTGTGAGTCGGCGGATAAGGATGCTGTTGACATGAAATCGCTCCAAATCCTTGAATCTGTGGGACAGGGTCTTGTCTAACTTTATTTTGCATAATTACCTGCTAAAAAAACAGGAACTTATCGCGGACGTATTTGCTCTGCATGATTTCTTCTGCAGCCTTTTTCATTTTTACTGACTGGAGTACGGACGGCTCGACTTTTGGTACCTGAAAGTCATTTAGATGCTCAAATATATGAAAAAACTGGGGCAGGTTTTTAAAGACCATAAATATTCTTGAATGCAACTTGAAGCTCCTGTGAGGATTTTTTGAACGGGTCATGAAACTTCCTGAAATTTAAAGCAGTTTCTCTTTATTTCCTGTAACGGTAAATGAAACCATCAGCAACAAGACTATTTTATTATTATTAAATCTAAAGGTTCGTGTCAGACAAGGCGATCGCCCAAACTGCAAATATTCACAACAATATTCACAAACCGGATGGGATTCGTGAAGAGTAACTGGTTTGGAGGACATATTGAAGTATTGTCCACAGGGGGCGCCAAACACAACTCAAACTCAAATTTCCCCACAGGCGCTTTAAGAAGCATCACGGAGTGTCAACGTTTGTCGAGTTAATCCGTAGAAATAAAAAGTCACACCCTCCTGAAAAATCGTAAACCAAAAACCGAACCAGTAGCAGAGTCTTTGCACTTTTGCAGGCTGCGATGTAAACTCAAGAGTTCAAAGGTTAATGCACACGCACACACAAAGAAGACAAAGAAAACGTATGACGGTGTGAACTAAGGCAACTTCAGCAGGACTGGATACAGCGCTCCCCAGATCCCCAAAAACACTCCTGCTCCCTGTGGAAAGTCTTAGTCTCAGCAGAGAGATGTACGGCAGGATGGAAAAAAGAGAGATCTTCCTCCTCTCCTCTTCTCTCCTCTCATGTAGATGTTTGTTTGTCGTAGAGGAGGAGGAGGAGGAGGAAGAGGAGGAGATCGTCTGCACATCGTTCAGCCTCTTCAAACGGAGGCGTGTTTCTTACCTGATCTCCTCATTTAAGAGTCACTCAGTTTCCACTGTAAGCGTTGCTACTTTCAGGAGCCGCCCAGCCAGCTGGCAAGGGCGCTGGTTGATTGGTTGGTCGGTCGTCAAGGTAACAGTGAAGATAAGGAATGGGGGGGGCGTGGCCTCAATCAGTGGGAGTGGGGATGATGCAGATGTGCAGGAAGTTGTCAGGGTGGCTGAGGTGTTCGCTGAGCCACTGCAGAGGGGTCTCCAGGAGCGGCTCGATACCGTGGATCACCACCTGGTAACGCTTCTGCCCACCTGGACGGAGAGAGAGGAGGGACAATTCATGAAGTGACCTCACGGCGATGATTCAAAAAGACGAGAGTAAAAGAAGAGGAGGAGGAGAGAAAAAGACGTGAATAAAGGATCATCTTTTTCCTCTTTTCTCAGCTGCTTCAAAGCGGTGAGAGATACCAAAACACACACACACACACACACACCCTGATTTCACCTTCTGTGGTGGGTGAGAGAGAAAGTCCAGGTGCTTGTGAGTCGTGTGTGTGTGTGTGTGTGTGTTCAGTTACAAAGGAGAGTAAAGTGACAGTTAAATGTTTTTGTTTGTCGTTGACAGCTTTTCAATCTTAAACTTTCACTCTGACAGTCTGGAGTTTCACACTGTGTGAGTGTGAGTGTGTGTGTGTGTGTGTGAGAGTGAAGGACGCCTATCATGGCCTCCTGTGACTGACCCCTCCCACCGCCCGAAAGGCCAGGACCACAAATCGTCAGTTACGAGCAGCGACTCGGTTCAACCCTCGAATCTTCCGGGGTCATGTGGCTGACAGAGATGAGATTTCTGATCGTTCAGGGAGAGTTTGAGAAACTGTTTGATTATTTTAACTTTAGATTAAAGACGCTGGCGTTTATGAGGCAGAGAAGAGGTGATGAAAGAGGCTGCAGAGTTGAATTATGGGAAATGTAGGCTGCAGTCTTTATTGAGGGTAAAGAGGCAGCTTTAACTCCCCTTCTTTGTCATTTGTCGTTTCTTTACCGTTCATTCACTCCTCTCCAGGTCCGTTAATTTTGTGACTAACTTTAATGCAGAGTAATCCTAAAATGCAGAAGTATGTCTTAAAAGGAGTCCAGGTTCATTTGCATTTGCGGCTTCCATGTTCAAACCACGGACTAAAATCGGCAGGGTGTGTTTCCTGAAACCTTCTTATGACTGAATGAATAACAAAGTGGAGGCAAATAACGCAGAAAAAAATCAATCATGATTGTTGGAGAAATGAAAATGATAATTCTAATGAGACCGCTGCATTCACCGATCACGTACGCAGAGCGCCTCGTGGTTTAAAAGACCAGAAATAATCTGGGATGGTCCGATAAATCATCTCAAACCATTATGAAGAGTTTCTGAACTCAGCAGGTCAAATCTGCAGCTGAAAAGGTTTGGGGACACTTCACACGAGCCTTCCTCTTATCATGCTTCATATCTACTTTACAAAGTGTTAGAAATGGACCCGTTTGTGGACAAAGTGAGGCCTCTTATCTCTGGTCCTGCACAAATCAGAGTTGTTTCTTCATTAAAAAACTAAACACAGTGAAATCTTTCTCTTACTGTGGAGTATCCACAACAGAAAAGTTACACCTGAGCCCTGACGGCAGTTTGAGGATTAAAAATACATCAGAATAAATAAAAGCTTTAATGATGAAGGGTCGAGTTTACTTTTTAAAGTCTTGACAAGGTGTCAGTTTTATTTTCAGCCCGTTTTGAAATAGTTAAAAAAAACTCTGCACTGTGCCTTTAGGAAATTAGTCAATCCAAAACATCTCTGGACGTGACGGCAAAACGACAAAGAATTTATATATAACTTAACCTTTATAACTTAAAAATGCATCCTTATACTTTAACATGTTGAAGGACATCAAATTTTTATGATAAATTTAAACAAATTAAGACTTTTTAGGAGCTTCGAGGAGTGTTTTTATAATATAATTTAGCTAAATGTTTGAGAAGAGAGTCTACACTCCGGATCCTGCAGCAGAGAATTTTATCTTGGATTTGATCCGTACCTTTTCTTTTTTTCCTCCTTACAGCTATTAATTCTGTCTCTGTTTTCTTTTTTTTATCTGTTGCACTGGAAATGGAGAAGCTCTCCGATCTCGTTGTACTTTCAGTTTGATGACAATAAAGGTTTCTGATTCTGATTCTGATCATTTTATTCAGAGCTACATCCTGCACAAACAAAACAACAAAAATACAAGTCAGCTCAAGAAACACAAAAGACACACAAAAGACACACAAAAAAAAAAAAAAAAAAAACAGGTGAAGGTAACAGGTAAATTAAATCACTTTAAGTTTTTTTTTTTTAAAGCAAATTTCTCCTTAAAATCTTTTTTGGGAGTTTAAATGTAATTTGCAAATTCTATAATTATGCCTAAAATATCCAGATTTTAAAGCACATTAAATTTTAGTTCCACTGAATTTAATTAAATTTTTTTTTGACTTATTTAAATCTAAAACTGCAGTTCTGTGTATCCTGTTTTTTAAAGCTCATGAACTCTTAATTTTAACGGTTTGAACTTGAACTTTTTCTCACCTGTCAAAAGACAGATTAAAAAAAAAACACTTCATGTCAGTTCCAGCTCGTTACGTGTTTCGGGATTTTTTTTTATTTTGCCGTGACGGGCCTGAAGGTGAGAAACAGAAACTGTATTTAAAATGTTAATGTGAAAACTGCAGCTGTCTTTCAATTGCTTGTTTTTCTGAGAGACGGATTTTAATCTTTGCTCTTTATTTTAATTTTACTTTTAAATTAAATTTTTCTGAGCATTTAAAAATATTTACGATCATTTAAGCGGCATTTTAACTTTTGGTTATTTTAGACTTTTTTTGTGCTCAGGCTGTTCGTGAGAAAGTCAGACAGTCTGGACCTTTTCTGTCTATCACTCTTGCCCTCACACACACATGCACACACACACACACACACACACACATACACAGAGGCCGGCTTTCTTTCGTGCACCCACATTTTAGCTCCACGTAATATCAGGAGGGCGGTTGAGACGAAGCGTTAACTGACGGTCTGAGAAGCGGCTCCACCCTACACCTGCTCTCTGACGGGCAAACAGCAACAAGTCAGACGCTGATGTCAGGAAACTAAAGATCAGCAGAGGTTTGAGATGAGCTTAAAGGTCAAAGGGCACATTTGCATATTCAGGACAGAGGCGGGCTGCTGCGCTGCCACGTTGCCGGGTTGTGATTTACGCCAAATCAAACCAGAATAAAGAGAATGCACATTTTAAATTAATGTTTTTTATGAAGTGAGGCATTATTAAGTTGCATGGTTTTAATTCTGCAGGGCGGCTGAGAGTGAAACTTTACATTATAGGAGGATATGTGTGTGTTTGTGTGTGTGTGTGTGCAGGGCGGAGAGGTGTAAACAAAAGGTGAAGGGCGGGCTGATTTCTGATGCAATAATGGAGAAACAAACCTCAAAGATTTAATGCATCATGTGTCATTTATAGATTTTTTTCAGGTCAGAGGAGCAAAGTGAAGCTCATCAATACAGAAATAAAATAAACAGATAAAACAATTCTATTTAAGGAGTTTAACTCTTCTGATTTTGTGGTGAACTAAGAACACAAAAAAAAAAAAAAAAAGTTAATAATAGTAACGTTGGGGTCGGATGTGCAGAGATGCAGACTAAGCGAACACAGAGTATAGATGTATCAAACATAGAGCTTTTAATCTTAGATGGGCATTAGTCACACAGAGGTTCAATGTTTGTAATGAAACAAAAGTTTTGACTGCAGCTGCAGCTTCTCTCTCCTGCTCCTCTGCTTCCACATTAACATGCACTCACATTCACACGCCGCCTTAAACCACGGCTTCCTGTAGGCAACCTTAATGCAACCAGGCAGGAAGTGAGGAGAAGATTTAGAGGATGAAATTTATGATGAAAACCTCTAAATGTACCTTTATATTTGACTTCTTCTGGATTAAGAGTCGTACTAAGGTTTAAAATAAACCACAGCTGTTTAAAAAAAGTCATTTAGTGCGAAAATTTGACTCTGGTCTCTTCTTATTCATGTTCATATTTAACATTATACCTCATTATCTTATTCAAATATACTGTATGAAAGGTCATTGGACAGGCACAATTTTTTAAGACTGTTTTAGCAGGTTCAAGATCTACATTTGTGGACCAAACTGAGCTGTAAAGAGGCGATAGAGTTAATAAGTTCATATATAATCTGTGAAAAAGCTGGAGGAGGTTTTTACGGTCACTTTTGAGGGTTTTCTTATACCTACATTTTCCAGAGCTCAAAGTTCTCACCACAGCAAATTCGATTTTCCTGCACGTATTCCGCTGAAGCGTCACTCCCTGATATTCATGTTCATCACAGTTTTAAGATTTCGATCACGTCGGTTAAAGGGAATCTTCAGAAAGTCATAATTTTAGTTGAGAAAGTAAAAGGTGTGATCGCGCCTTCGTGACAGCCAAAAATGAGAGCGCACTTTCTCTGATTCTCACTCACACACACACACACACACACACACACACACACACACACACACACACACACACACAGAGTGGTGTTTTCCTCTCACCGCTGACCTTTAGCCCCTGGGTTTGCCTGGCAACAGACGAGCAGATGTGGGCGGAGTAGGCGTAGTCTCATTATGAGAAATGGGGGAAATTCACAACAGGTAACACCCCCAAAACACACACACACACACACACACACACACACACACACACACACACCGAAGATGATAACATGAGGTACATTAGGCATCTACAGTAACTCACACAGACACTCATTATCTGATCGGTCTTGGTTGAAACTGCAGCTGGTTTATCGTATTTTGGTCATCGTCATGGTGATTTCCTGCCATAAACAGGTTTTTACAGGCTGTGGGTGATCAGAACAGCTGTTACTGATCAGTCTACAAATTTCAGGAATCCAAAACAATATGCACGGATAAAACAAATATCCTTCCTGATAATTTTATTCTTTTTTAAGTGTTTTAGACATCCCTGCCGGTGCTCATGTCCTCTTGACCCGTGACTCAGTGAGTCAGTGAACTCTGTTGAGCGTTACAGCCACTTCAACAGATAAACCCAATAGTCTGTGATTAACAGTTTCCAAAGTTTGAACTCCGGTGACGGTAAAGAATTTGATTCCTCAGAAAAATGCCCCAAAGTTTTGGAATAATTGTCTGCAGATTTCTTCTGTAACACGGGAATAAAAATCGATTTTAAATGAGGTTTTTTCCCAGATTGACCAACAATCAGTCCTGTGATTCATTAAAGCCTCGAGGCCCTGACCATTAACACCCCAAAAACAAAAAGAGGGGGTGACACACAGTCTGTGTTCAACCAGGATCAGCTTTTAGCCTTTATTTCAATCATGGAGGCTGCTGCTTGTTCAGTAATCAGACTGATTCTGTCGTGTAGATCTGGTGTGATTTAAATCTGCGTTTCATGCATTAAAAAAAAAAAAAAAAAAGACTCCTATCAGCTGACTTCTCTTCAACATGATGTAACTACAACCTTTGACCTGCAGAAGAACTTCTGCGGTTTGAATCCAGAAATAAAGTTTGAGAACTTCTCGACTTCTTCCAAAAACAGAGGTTACTTTTTCAGCTGTGTCTGATTTGATCCCTCTCGTGTGTTTTATCACCGTCTTTGCTGCTGCTCTCCCCGCCTCAGACATTTCACATATAACAGTAGAAGGGCGGGGAGCTCTCAGAACAGAGTCATAATGCAAAATTTAACTTCGTGCATGAAAATAACAATTCTCTGAAGGTAAAGTGGAGCTGTTAGTCGGTTTTCATGTATTTTGTTACAGAAAAGACCGATCCAAAGCTCATTAAAATCTCACATCTTCACCTGCTGGAGTATTAAAGACAGTTAGGTTTGCTCTTAACTAAAAAGTAGGGCTGGGCGATATGTCCTCAAATCAATATCACGATATATTGATCAGTTCACCTCGATAACGATAAATGGACGATAACTACTCCTAAAGCTGCTCACCCCCTCCCACATTAACTTCGTCTACTTCAGCCGCTCCAACTTCTGAACCGTCCTCCATCTCCTCACCTGTCTTTCCCTCTTTGTTACAAACTGGATGGGGCGGAGTCACGTCTCTGATGTAGCACAGCGTCTTAAATGGACATGAGACCATAGCCTACCTACACACATCCAAAAACAACTTTGATTGATTTATCTATTTTACACCGAATATACCGATATGGGCAAAATGACGTCAGTTATTGTCATAAATTTCGGTATCAGTAAATTTTCGGTTTGTAGCCCAGCCCTATGCTCATAATTCAGCAAATCCACATCAAACTGGATAAAAAGACTTTAAACAGACTCCTCCTCAGAAACATCACTCTTCACTCTCCTGGATGATGAACTCTTAAAGCTCACAGTGTCACACTTCCTCTGCCGTTTATCCGGTTATTTACCAAAGACGAGGATTATAAACTTTCCCAACATGTAAAACTCATATTTTTGACACAAAGACGACATTTCAGATCGCTTTGGTCGATTAATTTGCAACCAAACTCTGGTTATTGTCGTAAATTTCTGTAAATTTTCAGTTCATCGCCCCGCCCCAATTAAAGTACATCAAATATGTCCAGAGTGGACTTGTGTTTAACTCCTGGATCAAGCCGTAGTCCAGATAAGAAGACAAACACTGTGTATGGGTTGTAAAAGTTTCCCTCCCAGCAGCAGAGACTGAGAGCCGGGCCTGTGGGAGGGAAAACACTTCAACATCACTCTTTATCAACCCCAGTCACATTATCAATAATTTCCTTGGCTTTCAAATCTGCAGCCGCAGTTACAATGAAAATAGGCCGCCAACACTCACACACACACACTCACACACACACACACACACACACACAGCCTGTGGTTGAGCAGAACACGACCGCCGGCCAAGAAGACATGTTTTGTAAGTCAAGCAAAGCCAACCACTATTTAGGAAGACCACAGCCCTGCGCTCTCCTTCAGCCAAACACACAGTCTGACTGCACGACTGGCAGCTGGTCAGACTGACTGACTGACTGACTGACTGACTGACTGACAAATTATTGGAGGAGTAAAACCTCCACTGAGTTACTTTTTTGGAAGAGAGGCGTACGGCGGGGCGGGACGAGGAAACCATCTCCTGTTTGGACTGATCTGAGAAAACGACTTTAAATAAATGAAATCAGAGTCACTCAGTGTTTCCACTGTTTAGGGTTTAGGAAGGATGATGGTTCGATTAATGTAATGAAAGGAGACAGGCTGTAAGTTTTAGAGACCTGGTCTTAATCGGTTGAAAATATTCGTTGATTCCAAAGTTCGTCCAAAACCTTTTTTCTGAATCACTTAAAGCTCCTGTTAGGAACTTTTGGTTTGTGCCAATTTTGGCGCCCCCTGTGGACAAAAAAGTCTTTGCTCTTAGTAATGTCCTCTGTCCAAACATCTCATCCTGTCGACTTTTACGAGTGAAACGTTGAATTTTATTGCAAAAACAGGACCGTTTCTTCTGGTTTAAGGGATTAAAAATGACTAATTAAAACCCTCAAGATCTTATTTGCTTTTACATGTTATAAAGTGATTTACAGTCTATCCTATAAACGTCAGAAAACTCCTCACAGGAGCTTTAACTCTCATTATTTAGTCTAAGGTGATCTGACAGCTGGTTAACGCTTCATCTGAGTGAAAAAAACACAAAACAAATCCCCAATTTACTGCAAAAGAAGTGTATTTTTTTTAACGCTCATGCTGCAATATTAATATTAGTGCAGCCCTCAAGAGGAAATGAAGTTTGAGGTTTGAATCATCATGTGATGGAAATCAGTGTAAAACTGTAATGTCCAAACCAAGACCTGAAACTAACACTCACAAATGTTTTATCTCCTCTCGTTAGATTTCACTCAGAAAAGAAGAAGAAAGAGCTCCGATATGAGAGGCTGGAAAATATTATTGAGGGGAAAATAATCGGTACGTTTGAGAAGAACTGTGTTTTAACTCCTGTCAACTCCCACTCATTTAATAAAACGGTATATTCTCCATCTCTTAGAAACTCGTCGTCATGATTCCAATCAGACGTTCGAAGCCTTCACAGAAATATCTGAGTCCCCTTTTACAGTCAAAACGCGTCTCTACAAACCACACTCTGGCCAACAATAGATCCAACAGGCCAGTTTTGAATTCCCCTGCCTGGTGCAGCTCTCAGACGCCCGCGCATATGAACCCTAACCCACGACTCGCTGAATCAAATCAGCCTCTGAAACCTCCAAGGTGAACCGTCCCGTTTGATGATCACAGCGGCTCCTGAAGCAGCCTGTTCAGGGAAGCCTGCCGGTCATGAGTGTGACGTACCACACATGTGCGGAGGAGGAGGAGGTGGAGGATGCTGAAGGTGTTGTTTTGTGGATTTGTCACTTGTAAGGAGGGAGCTGGGGTGGGGTTGAGACGGGTTGGGGGGTTTCCCCTGATTATTCACAGACCAGGTTTTTTTTTCTCATGATTGGTTTTACCTCCAATTAAACCGACAAGGAAAGAAAAGAAAAAGGCTTACAAGAAAAGTCTGTCGGCACACGCGTCGCATGTGTGGGCAGTGTTATCGTCTCGGCTCACACTCGGGTCTGATTCCTGCCAAGAAGCCTTGCTCAATAACACACCTGGTCGAGAAAACAGAGTGAGACAGCGCCGACAGACGTCACCGCTGACCACTGCTTTCAGAAACATCATGTTTTGAGTTTCCTTCCCGCAGCCCGCGGGGAACAACAGCCTCGCGGCAAAACCGGCTGTTTGACCGACGTTTGTGAACCCTTTTGGGAATCCCCGTCTTTGGTCCTCCTAATTCAAGCCACCCCCATTTGTTTGCTGCGGCTGGTTTCTGGGTCCCACACAGGTCAACGCCAAATCCTCCGTCAGACATAACAGGGGGGAGGATAGTATGAAAAAGCTGTTATTTGATGTTTTCATGATCACAGGGTCCCAGCAACAAAAAGAAAAGAAATCCTATGAACTTCTTCACAATACCACCAGCAACAACCCCCCTCAGCCCGGCCCAGCCCCTGAACACACGTCTGGGTCTCTCTAATCCAAACACGCCGCCATAATCTCCGGCTATCACTCCTCTCATCTACAAGCCGAGGAAGAGGTAAAAACCAAACAAACGGCAGGAGACAAAAGGACAACTTTCACCTTGATCAGTCAGACTCCTGTGAGAGGGAGGAGAGCCGAGATTTAACGTCAAAGACATGAAAGACGTCTAGATGTAGGAGAAGACTACACCTGAGATAGGGGATCAGAGAGGAAGACCGTCTCAGCTCAGGGAAACTCAAAAGGAAGAAAAGAGGAAGAGACATTCAGAGGATCTCTTTGTCTCCGCCGCACAGTCGTGCGAATTCAACGCCAACCCTGAAATCGGTCAAAAATTCAACGCCAAGAAGACGCCAACACTAACACGAATGATTCTGTGAAATCGGACAGCTGTCCCTGATCAGAGAAGTCCACTGAGGCTTGTAATCCGTTCAAATAGGAGCCATAAACAATGAGACGGACTTGGCTGGTTTTAAACAGTAATGACTAAATGATGTTTGGACAGAAACAAAGAAAGGATAACGACATCTTTCCCCAGACGACCCTTAAAAACTTCGTCGATATCAGCATCAAAACTACAAAACTGAACACTTTTAATACAAGTTTATTCAGCTTTAACTGGTATAATCTAGATCATGTGACCCACTACTCTTTCGGAAAAACAGGTTTAGTTAAATTACATAAAAAAACCCTTTAAAAACAGTCATTTTAACATCTTTTGAGTTAATTAAAGATTTCATTTTCTCAACATTGAGTGAAACGAGACAAAAACAGGATCACATGTGTAAGTATTGGCGAAGAGCGTAGATCTATATATACTAGAATAAGCCAAATGGAATAAATCCAACCAGAGCAGGTCTATCTTTTGTATTTCTGTATTGTGAGCAGGCTGTCAGCTGATCGCGTATTAAGCTTCTGATTGGTCGACAAACCACAACAAAGGTGGCAGCCTCTGCCTGGCATAAGCTGCGTTTACACGGGCAAAAATTAATCAGAATTAAGGCCCGATCAGGTAAAAATGCGTCATGTAAACAAGTTGATCGGAAAATTCTTATCGAATTCGACTCAATCAGAAAGAAATTGTATTCCGATCGAGAGGGGTGGTTCATGCCGATTGTCATTCCGAAACACGTAAACCGATCATGACTCTTTGTCGGGGTAAAACTAGCCTGACTTTGACAAAACAGTAAAATAAGTAAGCAAGGGCGCCATCTAGTGACAACATTTAACAGAGGCGAAAATCCTGAATCGGATGAAGTGAAGAACTACTGCGTTTGTTGGTTTGTTGACAGCACAGACGTAAATATAACTTAGAAATAAGACAACTTTGCGCATGTCCAAATGCTTCTGATCTGAATAAAACTTGGTGCATGTATCAGATTATTTGACTTTGCGCCCGTATAAACAGTGGATTCAGATTATCCAATCCCTCAAATTTTTAATCGGATCAAGAAATTTTGCACATGGAAACATGACTATAGTCAGCTAACAACATAAATGACACTTTTCACTAAAACCTAAACTATCAGAGGTTATCTTCGTTTTTAAATGACTAGATCTGGAGCAGCCTGAAAACACACCGGTCTTCACTGAGGGATAGAAAAAACCCCAGAAGTCACAGAAACACACAAAGTCGGCGCAGGAAAGCTGCCGGTCTCACAAAACGAGTGGATTTTACAATAATTCTTGGCATAGTACCACTCTATTCTTAGAGCTGATACTGTAAACACAAGCTGGTCTCTTACCGTCTTAAATTAAGGTTTTTTTTTTGGTCAAACCAGCTGTCCACATGGTTTACTCTCTTAGCAGTATGACACTTATTTCTTTAAATACAGGATTATGTCATAGTGAGGGGTTTGACTACACTTATATTGTAGTATAATGTGACTGGTGTGTAAGATTATTAAGATCTGTTTATTTCCAAAAGTGAAAGCAGCATGTTTAAGTTAAAAAGACAATATTTAAGAGACTTTTATGTTATTTTCAGACACTTGAAACCCGGTTTTAACCCTCATGAGATTCCCTTTAAATAACTCTGTGGATTACATGGAAGGTTTGGTGTTAGATGTGAGTGATTTGGACAGAGATGTTGATAAAATGAGAGTGACTGTGGGACAGAAAGGCAGACTGAAGGGAGGGTGGAGGGGGGCGCTCTTAATGACTCCGTCTCCTCTGTGCAGGTGAGTCTCCTGCGGGTCCTCTGTCCTTCCCCTCTATTGTCTCCTTATCTACTTCCTCTCTGCCTGTTTAGACTGCCGCTGAGCCTCTCTCTCTCTCTCCTCTCATCTTTCCTTTCATGATCACCACACCTCTGCTACAGCTGCATCTGTGTGCCACGAGTGCACACAAACGCAGCTCATATCCAAAACCTGCCGTCCACATGTAATCTGAACTGTTTGGTGATATGTTGCTGATTCTGACGGTTAATTTGAAAGGTTGTAAAACTTTATGACTTGAGTGTTTTCATCTGGAACTCATTTACATACAGGATTTTGTAGAGTCAGATAATTCATGTTTATCTATCTCTGTACGTCTAATCTGTTCAGCCTGATTTGGATTTGTCTCTGGGATTAATTCACATATATTAATCTTGGTATTATCCCAATTATCTAAACACCAAAGTAAGAGTAAACAGCCTCCGTGTAGACTGACCTTCATTTGGTAAAGCTGTCGGGTCCATCTCTTTGAGCAGGTCTCCGAGCGTGTGCATGCTGCCGTCAGCTGAAACGGGACGAAACAGCTTCTGGATGAACGGTCGATCGCTCGTCGTCTGAAATGAAATAAAAGAATAACAACAAAGTTAAAAAAAGGAGGGAAAAAAACATATAAACAGGCAAGGTTCAAGTGATACGAAAAGGACAGATTTCCAGGGTCATGTGAAGAAGGATTAAAGTCATAACGTTAGAAGATTAAAGTCCTCGTAAAGTCAAAATAAAACCAGAATAAGTTTCAGTTGTTTCAGATTTAAATTTTAGTTTTTTTTTAGGGGTGTCGTGTTTCGGTTTTGTCTTTGGTGTTGCTGTTTTCTCCCTCTTGGGGATTTCATTTGAAACCACTTGTGTAAGAACAGGATCTTTTATCAGCAGAATAAAATTAATGTTAGGAGAATAAAAAAAGTCACAATATTAAAAGAACAAAGTCCTGATGTTGAAGTAAAGTTGTAGTAAAGAGTAAAGTAAAGATTGAAGGTTATCAGAAGAGCTGCCGCACAAAATAAAAAAACATGTTGAATTAAATAACGACCTTTTTTTCTCATTACATACTGATGATGAACTTTTATCATAACAACTTTATTCTCCGATTTAAAGTTTTATTTTTTACTTTCTTTATTTCTTCCTGGATGTGGTCTTTATACCCTGTTTTAGGTTTGACTGCATTGAGCAACTATGATAGTTTGCAGACCAATCAGAAGCTTTATATACGATCTGGGAAGATGTAAAAGATCCAGTGAGAAACAAAGATTTTTCTTCTTTTAACCTTTGCGGTTTGAGGATTTGATGTTTCATGATTTAACAAACATATTTGTGAGGCTAACCTTTTCTGGTTCGGCTGTATTTTCCATGATGGCGAAGCTTGTACAAAGCAAGAATACAGCGCCTTTTTTCAACCTAGTCAGTCTAGGTTTAAAGTAGAAAGACACACAAAAGCAGCAGTGATGTTCTGCCTTTACGATCGTATCGTAGAAGTAGGAACAAAAACTAGATGTCTTGAACCAGAACAAAAGGACTGGATATCAAGACCACAAAAAGGTCTGAGGGCTCCCTGACTATGGATCAGCTCTCTTGAGACCTCAGAAGTTCCCGAGTTGTTGGTTTCAGTTTTACGGGCAAAGACATTAAAATGCGTCGATGCAGAACTGTGACTGTAAACCGTCCTTAAAATAAAGACCGGTTTCATCATTTCCTGAGCTGCCACCGAGGCTTTAGTCATGAGAGGTCTGTTGGCTCTCAGAGAGATCTCAATCATGGGAACCGGAAACCAACCTGCACTGTTGGCAGGATGTGAGGTCTTCAGATGCTTGGTAAATCAAACCCTTCGCTCCAACCACCTGAGAGGTTTGTGGTTCTTTCAAAGTCACGTTACATCTTCCTTTACCACTGAAGCGCCTGTGTCTTGACTTAAGATGATATACTATTAATGCGTTACTCTCAGACGCTCTGTTATTCAGATTTATCTCAAACAGCCTGGTCTCTATTTCACAAAAAAGGACATCACTCTTTTAAGTCCAAGTTGCACAAATTTGTAAATCAAATGCTGCTGCTGGCCTTAAAATTTTTTCCATCTGCTTTAATGGTACAATCAAAAACACACAGTCACTCAGCATGTGACGTCAGCCGAAGGAGTTGATCGAAAAAACAAATCAGAAGATCCTGTGAGCCGGACAAATCCTTGTCTCCATTCTGGGAAACAACAGGTGATATGACGTCCAAGCAGCGAGGGGAAATCCACACCATGATGCACGCAAATCCACGCAGACACTTGAGTTTGCTGAGTCGAACTGGGAGGATGGAGCTTTGATGAGCCTGACCACTCAAGAATGAGATATTTGGCAACGTGTGGACAGATGTTGCAGATGTTACACGCAGCCTGAAAGTCATTAGCTGCTGCCTGAGTGTGTTCCTGGCAGAGAAGTCAGCTTCCAACCGGATTAAAAAACTCCTCAGGGCGAAGGGCACGGTGGAGTAATTCTGACATTCTGCACTGAGACAAATCCTCTCTCTCTCTCTCTCTCTCTGTCTCTCTCTCTATCTCTCTCGAGACAGAGTTTGGACGTCATGAAGTTGTTGATCTTTAAGTTCAGGGTTTCTCAGGCTATGTCACAAGTTCCCAGCTGCACGACTGGCCTTCACTGAGGAAATCAAAGTTCGAGTTTGTATGGACAGGTGGAGCATGATTGACTTGATGAAGACCACTTTCATTCTTATAATAAAAACCTGGAGGAGTAGATTAACCAAATCAGTTTAGGAGTAAAGAGCTTGTTGTCGCTCTGGTTAGTGGTGACTGCCATGACGCTTTAACGCTCGACTATCTGGATACAAACAAGATCAGATGACAGACATTTTGGTCGTACAAACAGAGTTTAGGTTAAATCTGGGTCAACCTGCTCAATCTGAAACTAAGTCTAGGAAAAAACGTACGCCTCTGTTTCAAACGATGGTTTCGTCACTGTCCACATACTTCCATGTGTCCTTTACGTTGGGATGGATGTTAACCATCACATCCACCAGGAGTGATCATCATCATCACAGAGGCAGCGATGGAGGAGGTGGCGATCAGTCAGGCCACTAAATACCTGGCGGTTGGAGGATGTATGTTTGTAATTGCGTACCTGCTCGCATAACCTTTCCTCAAAAAGCCCCGCCATTGTCTTCTTCGTTTCTCTCTAGAGATGTGTATCGGGTAGAGACAGCAACAACACTGCCCCAAAGGTTTCAGGTGGTACTGCTCCGTCTGCCCCGTATCCGTGAACCTCAAGGATATGTGCAGAAATACGGACGAAAAGAACGCGAAGCACGGACAGAGAGCTTCGTCTTTATCCGGATCTGTATGTAACGTTGAGCATAAATGAGCCTTTACCTGCAGACTCTGTGATTCTGGGTTTAGCCATGTTGACTGAGTCGACTTGTCGAGGTACAACTTCTGTTTTGACTCCAAAGAAATAACATATTCTGGCTCAGCTGTACAGCAGAAATAGGGCTGGGAAACAAATAGATTTTGATAATTTCTCAGCCGATTCCTACAGATAAAGATCCTGATTTTCTCACTTCAAACCGTTTTGTTTACTTCCTGTAGAAACACACGACTCCATGTCTGCTAGCATCAAGAAGAGTTTGAGCCCAAAAGTTGCCACGTGTTGCACAGTCCTCTGAAAAGTTTGTTTAAAGGCTGTAGCAGCTGAGATGGCAGAGGAATATCGGAGAAATGGTAGAAAATATTGGGGATATTATTCTATAAGTGCATTTTGTATGACGGGAAAGGAACACGGCGAAAATCCACGCTCTTAAGAGCATAAAGTCGAGTTTTTAGAGATTCCTCTCACAGCCAGTAGCATACCGTCCTGATGATGTAGCCCTGACCTTTGACCTTTCCTTTATTTACAACATATCACAACATGGTAGCAATCAAGAAACAGGGTAGGAGCTCATCCTGCAGATCGCCCGGGTTTAAGAGCGACCACTAAATGCCTGTAAAGTAAACTGACTAAGTCATCATGGGACAGCTAATCAAAGGTGATGTATGCAGAAAACATCCCCATGACTGTGCAGCTCCGATGGCCAGGCCTGCAGCCACAGCATTCCAGGAGGGAGAGGTACGGGAAACTTGGTGGGAAATTACAGCCAGACAGAGATCTAGTAAACCCAGTCCTGGTGTGGATCGAACCGTTCCTGGACAATTTAGCCCTCAGCTGAAAGGTTGTAAATAGGGAACCGAAGCCACGCCCACTTCCGCGTTAGCGCTATAGGTCCTATTGGGATAATAGGAGTGAATGGACAGGTCTATGGTATTTTCTGGTCCGCTTTGTTTTACACCCTGAGTCACAAATATGTTGTATTTTAACTTAAATGATAACCATTAAGGTAAATAAAGGCTATGTTTGTTGTCTAATTGTTGATCTATTTGTCTTTGAAAACACGTAAATGGAGAGACTACAGACCTCAAGAAGTCGCGTAAATGACGTCACGTCAGTATTTCTACTTCTAGCTAACTCCCTAACTCCCACTCTCAACATGACCCGACTTGTAGTGGTTTTCACCACGTTTAATACTCTTTCCTTCATCCTGGAAGAAGGACGTGAAACTTGCCAAAGTCACCGCCATCGTCGTCTGTCAAAGCTTAGACAGTGACGCAAAAATAGTGCGACGAGCGGTGTAGTTCATTACGTGGTCTCACTCTAAATTAAACTGTAGTTATAGCAACATGTCTAAAATCACGGCTTTTTCGAGGTTAAAATGTAAATTTAAACATGATAAACATTATATGTGAAATGTGTAGGGGCTTCGGTTCCCTATACCAAAGCGGACCAGTAGTTATATATATCTGTCCATTCATTTTGATGGGCTCCATAGGACCGTATGCTAACCCGGAAGTTAGCATGATTTCGGTTCCCTATGCAACATGGACGGCTTGGACGCTACCCAACGTGCACCCCGACCCTGGGTTGACCTGAGCGTGTGACCAGAGCCGATGTATGAAAAAGTGAAAGCTCTGTCTTATCTCTTCGTCCTGCACAGAGTTCTCTCACACAATCATCTGGACAGCGGAGGTTTCGATGCACTTTTGAAAAGAACCTGAGGAGTCCTAAAGGTTTTCTCAGTCTGGGGCACGGGTTGTTTGGATCCGGTGATACTGAATGAGCAGCTTTGTGAGTGAGAAGAGGAAACTCTTGATGCTCCACCTCGATCACATGCTCTGTATACTACCCAGACAACCTTTGGAAAAGACAAGTTTATTTCCTGTCAGCCTCTGTTATCAGTCAGCCAACAGAAACCCTGAAGTTGAAGCGATTAGCTGGTTTATTCGAATGCTAAAAAGATCTTTAAGGTAACGTTGAAGGATTCATTTGAGAGGTTAAACCTGACACGATGTGATCTTAATTTTTGGAACTTGTGCATGAGTTTAAGTCCCGTTTTGTGTTATACTCCAAATCTAACACTTTCGAACCTGAGTCTTGTGTGTCCGCAGGTCTGTTCTTGGTAAAAGTCAAGAGTCTCACTATCACTGCAGAGTTAAAAATTCAGTGGCTCTGGTCACCCGATGACCTGTATCAACGGGGGCAGGAGAAAAGGTGCCAATCGCTGGACACCTATCAGCACCTGGCAAAGTTTTATCAGCCATCTTTAAAACGCAGAGCCGATACCGTCAATCAGCTAAAAGACAAATATCTGCCCCGATACTGATCATCTGTCCTCTCCTGGTAACTTCATTACCTATTATCCTTTCTAACATGTTTTTTCTGGGCCAGTTTGTCCCAACGTTGCTCAGTGGTCAGAGCCTCAAAGTGGCTCATGTACGCGGTCCAGGCGGACACCCAACCTGAGGTGTCAAACGGAGACTCGGACACACAATAGGACCTAATCATAGAGCTGTGAAAAGGAAACCTTCGAGGGCAGGGATCAGATACCCATATGGTAACTACACACCATAGAGCCAGGCGCGAACCAGCAAGAGGAAGGTGGCGGTGGAGGCGTGAAACCCGTGCTCGGGTTACACAGAAAGACTGAGTCACTGACAGGAAGCTTGGCGTTTCGTGCAGGATCATCGGCAAGAGCCAAAGCAGGGAGAGTGTGCTAAGTGACAGCTACTTCGATGCATTTTTAAATAGACGTCCATGAATAATTGAGCCGGTTACCATACAAAGAAGGAGCTATTGATCCCCAGGGAGAGAAGCGTGATATTGCTTGGATGGGGACACTTTCTTTTCAGCTGGTGTGACACCTTACCTGGCACAGCAGCACATGGTTTCACAAAGAGAGTGAGGTGTCATTAGGATTCAGGCGAAAAGAGATGGCTCGCTCTCGCTGAGTGAAAAGAGCAGCGGAACTCAAGCCGTCCGCTAATTGGTGGAGGGGATTCAATCTGCCTAATTGACGGGCCGGACAATGGGCGGAGGGGTACAGTACCGTCAGTCAAAAGGAGTTTCCGTGAGTCGAGAGGGTGAGAGAAAGCGTTTCCACTGAACTCTGAGACCATCCATTCCTAAATTAAAATTCCAGCCTCATTTTTAGCAGTCCTCATTTTCTCAGAGCCTGAAATACACACCTGTGCAGGAGAAACTCCGTCATGAGACACTGGACTGAATTCTTAATTATTTATTGGCCAAGAGTTGCATGCTAGGTTGACCTGGTGCTTCTCAAACATGCCGATATCTCCAATCTTCAGTAGTGCCCGTCGAAGTTCCTTTGTCTCCTCATGTTTAAACAACAGACTGTTTAATTTTAGGGTTTACGTTGGTGGTGCGTGTTCATCGGTGCATTACTTGCAAAGGTGACGGCAAAGGGACTTTGGAACACTTGCTGTGGCATTTCTGGACGGTGGTTTGTCCTCCTGATCTATTGACCAATCAGATGACTTATACGGGCCCAATCAGAGGCCTGCAGAGCCATGAGGGTAATAAAGCTAGTTAATGACAAACGGCATCGGTATCAACGAAATCTTGACAGTTCCCGTCTCAAGGGAGGACACAACTTTGATGATACAGCCGAGGCTTTAGTCCTCCTTGCATTGGTCTCAGGATCTGGTCCCTCTAAAGCGTTCCTCTCAAAATAAAGACCAAAAAATAACCTTAACAAAAAGACTTTTTGTACTTCAGGGGAGCCGACCCTTTAATTGAATCCTGACACAGACAAAGACACGGGTTTAATTATCAAATTAACCTCCATCTGACTCCACATGATGATGTCCAGACCAGAGAGGTTTGCCAAAACCACATCACAGGGATCCTCAGCCTGAGAAGCTTTTAAGCTTCTTGGCCGTGTCATCCTGATTACAAACTTGAAGGTTTTCCATTGTCAGTCATGGATCTGACAGAAACCATTACTGTAAAGGCGTCGGTGCGTGTTTCCCCTATTCAACAGGCATGCCACCTGTTGCCTCTGGCATGAGCTGTTTCCAGCATTCCCATGTTTTGTAATTGTCTGTGTAGTCACCACCTCCCCCTCGTTTCAGTCAGCTATTACAAGATATCTGCCAGGCAGTAAACATGCCTTTTTCTTTTTTTTTAAAGCACGCAGCCTCCTCAGCACCACAACACAGAGGCGGCTGGAGGTGGACCGCCAGCTCTTACATCGGAGGTTTGTGAGTAAGCACTTAGTCACCGAGCAGGAACAGAGAAGAGTACCTGTACAGCAACAATGTAAGCAGTCTTTAAAAGGAGGATAGTAATTTTCACTTTCCGCGCAGCGAGACGGTCGGCCCCCCCCCTACGGCGCTTTGAATCACAGAGTGGCGTCACTTCTGGAGCAGGAGGATGCACTGGCAGCCAAACAAGTCCCGCAGCCTGCCAGAGAAGAGGGCGCGGCGGGGGCGACGCGCACAAACATGCACCAGTCTACGAGCGAAGGGCAGAAGTGGAAGCAATTTAAATGACAAAGGCAGAAAAAAATAGAAACAGAAGGTCGAAAACATGGATGGAGACGTGAAGTCAACCACAAAAACAAAGAGGGAAGAGAAAGTTAAAGAGGACAGAGGACATCAAAGAAGGACAAAGAAGTGTAGAAGAAGAAGAAGAAGAAGAAGAAGAAGAGGAAGACTTAAGATAGATTAAAAACAAACTATTTACAGATTTATGTGGAATAAGATGAACTCAGTTTTATCAGCTTGATAAACGTATGAATAAAGGTTAAAGGTTGAAATCAGACTCAGTTACGATTCTTCGGACATTAGACACACATACACACAATTACACACACACACAGAAATGTGTCGCCCATGCCCACGAGGCGTCTTTGTCTCCATGAGGAGAGCAGGCCAGACGGAAATGAGCCCTCTGTTATTTGGACTGAGTGTTGTCATTAATTCTGTCTGCATCAAACACAGCACATGTTATTTACACTAAAGACCACAATCTGGCTTTGAAGGACTCTCGAGTACGTGTGTGCGTGTTTGTGAGTCTGTGTGTGTTTGTGTGGGAGGGGGGATATTTCCCCTGTGTAAGCCCGTCTCCCAAACGTCACCGGGTGACTTCTGAGTGCCGAACAGCTTTGTTCTCCCCCCGCGTTTCTGCACCTTTTTCCATCTGTTTGATCAAATCGTATTTTTGTCCCGGCCGAATGACTCGGCGCTGCTGGGGTATCTCGTTTGGTCTCATCGCAACGACTCTGACTCAGAAAACACACATGGCGTATCCCTAGCAACCGACACTGAGTGGATTTTTAAAGCTTTTAAAGAATTCAAGATATTTGCTTCAGTTTTATTTATATTCTGTTTGTTTTTTGAAATACAACCTGGGTCCTTCTTTGTGTTACGCTGTAAATAACAAACCATTTCAACAAAAATCAAAGTCAACAGTTAAGTGTTGCCCATCCTTCCCACTGGTCAGGTCTTTTAAGTGTTGAAAATGATGGACAAACTTAAGTGGATTCTGTTACTTTTAAAAGTGTCTGACAAACATGACATCTGGAAAGAGGGTAACTCCGTAAAAAAGTCACAACAGCTTCAACTGGTATTCATGATCTGTGCAAATTACTCTGTTGCTTTAAGTTTCTCGTGCCGGACACAGACACGGTTCCCATGCTTCTTCTTTGGTATGATGTTTATGGTACAGATGGTAAAGATGTCTGCCATAAAACCCAGTACATAAAGGACCGGCCACAGTATAAACCCCGTCTGTTCTGGGGAGTCTTCTTTAGATATGTGCAGACCAGTTCTCTTGATGCTACACTGACTTATTTTCACTCCAACAGGAAACACTTAAACATCTGTACAGGATCTTGGCTCGTTGGCTCGTTTGGCCTTGTTCTCATTGGCAGTAAAGGTGCAGTCTGTCGTTTTTAGCAGCATTCAGTAGAGCAGATTTGATATAGTATGTTTAATTTAGCTTAAATACATCACATGGGTTTCTTGTCCTTGAAGGCCACCGTTGCTTTAATGATGGGAGGGGTGAGTAAGGGAGCATTCAAGTCTAGAACCTAACAGCTACGTAATGTAACGTTCCAGTTACCTTGTAAGTCGGAGCTGGGAATGACGTTACACCCGAGTTGACGGCATTCCAGTAAATAAGTCAGAAAACCAAGACGGACACCTACTGTTAGCCGTCGTTAGCTGTTGTTATCAATTGTCAGCTGTCGTTAGTCGTTGTTAGCTGTACCAGCTGTAAACGACGCATAACACAGTATTTTACACCATAGCTCCGTGTTCACAGTTAGTCGTTGGGCAGTACGACATAAACCACTTATTTAATTTCACAAAACAAAACAGAAGTGCTGATAAATAAAACACTACCAAAGCTTTCACTGTTACTCTTTCCTGCTGATGCACTGCGCTGCCATCTTGGATTATGATGTTGTCGTCAAGTCGGGGTTGGTGAGGATCGTCCGACTTTCAGAGTCGAAAATCTGACGTCAGGGGGACGTTCCAGATGAATTTCAGACTTGGAGCTCAAAAACTTCCAAGTACAACTGGTACGCAGCATGTGTATGATTAAATATTCTAGTTCTTTTTAACCGTCTTCCTGCTTCATGATTTCAGTTGCGCTCTGCAAAGTCCACAATGTGCAGTTTCTGTGCAGCTGTGTAGCTCGATGTGGAGTTTGCAGTCTTAGGTCCATTTCAGTTACAGATCTTTGGTGAAATTATGGAATCATCCTCTGGATACTATGTCAGTAAAGTTTCTCCCCAGTGTTTTGGAATAAAGCTCACTATTTTCCACTTTGATTGATCCGTCTATCTCGAGTTTATCTGAATCATGGAGGATTACTACGCTAATTTGAAGTGCACTCACTTTAAATTTCCTTGCTGTTCAAGCTCAATCCCACATGTTGATGTTTGTACAACTCTTCAGAGTATTTCATCCATCTGTGCGGACTCACAAGACGGTGAAAGTAGGAGCAGAAAGTTGCCATTATGAGTATTTTCAGGCTCATAATGATTTGATTTAGTTTTCACCCTTTTTCTTTTCCTTTCCAAGCCTGCTTTGGTGGTAAATATCCAGCGGTTTATAAGATAAAAACCACCGTGTGTCCACAATAATCCAGACGTTTCAGGGATGATAGTTATTTTCTCCAACATGTTTGGAGGCTTTGATGCTCCAACACTCATGAAACCGACCAAAGTCATAAATGAGCGTGGAAACTTTCAATTCAGCCGTGAAAAACAGTCTGGGTGTCTTCCACTTCAACACTTTTTTACTGCTACAACAAGTGCATGTCTGAGAGGGCGGGCTGGTGTTGGTGAGACTGCATGTTTGGGTCGGCCACTTTAAAGAGTTATGCTTTACAGCCCGACGCAGGAATGCTTTTGTTGAAGCGTGAATCTGTTTATTTACGCGCCGAAGATGTGAAAGTAAAAACAAAAGCATTTACGGGCTTTTTAGAGCTCCATGCAAAACACAGGGTGATTGACAGCTGTAGCCCCGCCCTCTTTGTTGTGCAGAATGTAAATGCAGCCATATGTGGAGCCCGGCAGGCCTCATTGAAAAGTTGTCACGCTCGATGATAAATCACGACAGTGGGAAATTACCAGCAACTGTCAAAGCAGACAGAAAATATGCAGCGAACTGTTGTTTCCTGAGATGTCACTCTTTACTTTGGTCGTATTTCCAAACGGATCTTGACGGGTACTGATGTTTCAGCGGAGAGAAAGCCCTTCTCTCTGCTGTGTTTGAAGTTCAAGGCTAAACGCGCTCACATTCACTGAAGCCACGAGTCCACAAGCAGACTGTCAACATGTTTTTGTTGCAGCAAACATCCAGATGTTTTCTGAATCTTGACTTTCTTTGGATCAGACAAAGACTCTCTGGTGTCCAGCAGGATTAAAAGAACTTCAGATGACGTCTAATTACACTGTTGCTTCAGATGATTTCGTCAGGATGGTACAAAATTACTCTTGAAAGAATTCGGTGGAATCCTAAACCTCTGAAACTCTTCAGGTTATCAAATTACTCTTTTCCCGCATTTCCTGATCTGCATAAAAACCCCCGACACATGACTGAAAGCGTGGAACTTTTCACCCACTGTCTGGCGCGCAGCACGCTAATGTTTTCCAGGCGAGGATCAGCCGCTTATTCATCTCCTCTTCCTTCTTTTTTTTTTGTTCTCAAAAAGGGAATTTCACCTGAGTCAGGATAAAGCTGCAGAGGCTTGGCGGAAACACCCCGACCCGGGGCCGCTTGTCTGCCTACACCTCCTGATCCCAGACTGAACCCTGAGGGCCTCACCCTCCAGTTTCATGGAACTGGGCACAAAGTGGAGGAGGAGTCTCAGGTATCGAACGAACGAGAAATGATGAAAATCCTTTAAAACACCGGGGTGGAGCAGATTAATTTCATGTTTTTTCTTTGACTTCATGATTCAGAAAGAGATTATTTCATCAGAGTGAAGGGGTGAAGATGAAGACATGATTTCACACTGATGTTTGTCTTCAATATTTAATATAAACACTTCAAATGTTTCACAAAAATTGGAAAAAGAGGAGAAAATTTTCAACAAAGAGGTTTGATCAGAGATATTATCTAAGTTTATAAATGACGGCTTTTATTTTATAGAATTTCCCAGTTTTAGATCATTAAAGTTTTACTGATCAACATTCATCAAAAGAACAAAAAACTGACGAATTTAATCCCGTTAAATTAAGATTATTAAGGATGAATGACATCAGGTAAATCAGGTTTAAGTGAATTAAATGTGTCGTGTGCTGTACTTTGCTGGATCTCTGTAGAAATGGATCATGGTATTTATAAACATGTTAAACTGAGTGAATAATCGCCTGAAAATAAAGATCCTTTTGTTTAAAATGAACCAAGAATGAGTCTTTTTTATTTACAGGAGTGGGTTCCAACATTTTTAGTGACGGGCCTTCTTGTAAATTTCTACATTTTATCCACAGTGCTTTCATCATTACGTGTCTTTATAATTTTTTAAACTCTATTTTGGATCAAGCCTTTATTTTTTTTTCAGTACTTCCCCTTTCATGATTTTTTTCAGCTGTTTTTTGGTCTATCCTACTATTTCATCTTTTAATGTTCTTTAAACAAAAACACTATTGTCATTTTTTTTTTTTTTTTTTAAATTTCATGTTTCTACTGGTGCTTATAACAGAAACAAACTAGTAACAGTAATGTATGTGAGCATCTGTGTGAAGTGCAGCAGAGGAATATGAAGCAGCAGTGTGAGGATTTTGTTCTGCACAAAGAAATTCACAATTAAGGATTTTTTTTTATCCTAAAAACTTAAGAATCATCGTTTTTTTAACAGGGTGGGGGGTGAGCATGGGAGCATTTCGATCACGACTCTGTCTGTTAAATAAACGTTCCTGTTTCTACACGCTGTGGCTTTAAAAGAGTGAAGATAAAGTGATGGATTTCAGTTATTTTAAAAACTGTAAAATGATTTTATTTGTTTTTAAAAGTTTTTTTTTTACACATTTAAAGACGAGACATGACTTCTCCCTCCTCTTTAATTACTTTTTGGGTCGCCTCTCAAGAGCAGCAGCTTCCACCACAGTCCTTTGGCAACATCTACTGGACTGACTGTGAACTTCAGCTCTGCTCTCCAGAGTCTGAACACTTGAAATTTTACTTATCGGGTCACTGATGAAGGGAAAAACCATTTCACCAAACAGTTTTCTTACTGTGTGTGTGTGTGTGTGTGTGTGTGTGTGTGTGTGTGTGTCTGTGTGTGTGTGTTACCTGGTATATCCTGAAGGGGATGTATCTGAAGCCTCCGTCCTCAGTGGAATATTCCATCAGCTTCCTGTTCATGGCCCAAAACTGGTCAAACTTATCTGTGACACAAAGAAACCAACATCATAAATTTGACCCAGTGACCTTCTCTTTTGATGTTTTCGCTGCGTCACGCTCTATTGTTTGCAGTTCGATGAGTGTTTGGCACGGGTTCTGTTTTTGGGCAGAGGTTTGTGTTACTGAGAATTTACGACAAAAACCGGTTTCCTCTGCAGTCCTGAGTCATCGTTTCAGAAACTTAGAGGAGAGAAAGTGAGGTGCCGCACCACGTGTCGGGCACCTCTGCAAACCCAAAGGAGAAACAGAGTCACCAAAACTTCCTTTTATCTGATTATTAACGCAGTGATCAACATCAAACTTTTCGCTGCAAAAATAGTGGAAAAAGTGTTAAAATGTCAAAGAAATCGAAATTTTCAGGAAGTTTGGGAAAAGTCAATAAACGTCAGAGGTGGGTTCACGCTTCGCCAAACTCTGGGTATCTATAGAAGTTACCCTCGAGTGCTTTGGGACTGGAGGAAATACCCACTCACTGATGTGACAGGGTGAGGAAACCACAAAAAAGTCCCCTGGCTGGGATAAATGCAGAAATACTGCCTGTTAATAATGATCTGAGCGGCCGACGCGACGTTTCTATCTTTTCTCACCTGCTTTGACCACTCATCTCTTCATCAAGATGAAACTAAGATAACCAAGAGGCCTGTGAACCTTTTACTGCTTCACCGAACAGTCATGAGGGTATTTCCTGTGGACGAAAAAACCTGCAGCGAAGGACTTTTTTATATTTAGCTGATCACTGAAGATGTAAAATATGAGATTATTAAATATAAACTTCCAAAACTCTCATTGTTATAAAGCTGCTGTGTTGATTTGTTGCCTACTGTCTACTGAAATTATTCGCCCCCCTTTGATTTTGTTCAACAGATTAATGATTTTTTTACACAGCTTTTCCAAACATCCTAGTTTTATTTGGATCCTTACATTATTTTACTTTGCACAAAGAAACAACATTATTTTACAAAAAACAAAAACTACCAGAGTCAAAAATATTAGCCCTTTTAAGAGTTGAAAAAATCATTAATCTGTTGAACAGCACTTTGGAAATTATGGGAAAAAAATGAAAATTTCATCGGGTGGGGCGAATAATTTTGGCCTCAACTGAACATTGTCTTCTTTGTGTTCATATGAAACTATCCAAACTCCTTCTGCGCAGCTTCGCCCTTTCACACGGAGGTCAGAGATCATAATCCAGCGCGATCTTTAATCAGGGATTATTCAGCAGAACATCTGAGCAGCGGTCCTTGTGAGAATCACGACTCCAAACATGTGCTGGTTTCAGAGCCTCCATCTCCTCTCAGCTCTCGCTTTCACACAAACCTTCTGTTTTCTTTCTGCGGGATGAAAGTTTGACACGGTTCTGTTTCTCTGTCTCTGTTTCTGCTCTCTTTTGGATGTGAAAGTTTTGGGTTCAGAGAAGGTTTCAGCTCTCACTGTCCTCTCCCTCTTTTTTGGGGGGTTACTCCACAGTTGATGTCGATTACTGACTTTAATGTTTAAACACTTTTATGGGAAAACAATTTGAATATTTCAGAAACATCCCCGGCCTCGTATATCAAAGCTCTGTCTCTGAAATTAAAGAACGTTTTCGTCTCACTTTTGAAAATTCTCCTTCTTCTGCGATCATGGGAAAGTGGTAGACCAGTAGGCAGCTGAAATTTTGTGGCTTTGCATGCAAATTTTCTCGAACATTTTCAGTGTTGCTTGCAGAGTTTTGACAGTTACATGACTGTGCAGTTCCACGCTAAATGATGGAAAATTATCGTCAGTTTTTCTGGCCTTAATTTGCATTGTTTCACTCTTCATTTGCATGTTTTTTTTTCTGGTTTTGACTGACGCCAAGCTTTCTCTGCTGTCAAGTTTTTCATTTGGGAATATCCTCGAGCTTTGTCTCCCACAAACAAACGTTTTAAATCAAGACAAAATGTCATGGAGAAAACTGCTGGGTGAGGACATTATTTATGACACAAGTGTTGTTTCTTTTTCACCCAGCGAGGCAGAAATGAACAATAGCCTTGGTTTGGTATTTTGTCTCGATCTGAAAAAGCAAATTTTGAGCATCTTAGAGGAGCAGCTTGAGAAAGTCTGACAAAAACAGCGTAAATTTGAGCTTTTTTATAAAGTTTAAAACCTCTAAAGTCGTAATAAAACAGCAAGAATGATATTTGTGAGTATTTAGAGCTTCATGGAGATCAAAACAAAGTTATTCCTGTGACTCTGATGGTATTCAAAGTGTTTATCGTCGCCTTATTTGATCAACTTGACCTGCAGTGATTCCAAACATTTCACACCACATGTGTCGGGTTTTGCTTTTCAAAGGAGGGCGCATACTCCGAACCTCGACCCCTCCTCCTGACCCACATCAGAGGCTTCAGATGAATCAGCAGCACCCTAACCCCGACCTCACCTACACAAACCACCAAATCCACAACCAACAGCCGGTAAGAAATCAACCTGTCCGATCAGACGGGTGGGAAGCTGGTGGGCGTTTGGGTGGGAGATGTTTAGGAAGTGGAGGCTTCAAAGAGAGAGCGTGTTTTTCTTTTTCTGTCTGTATTCAAATAATCAAGATTTCAGCGCTGCAGCTTCACCTGAGTGAGTCTTCTGCTGAACTTTCTAAAATTACTGCTCTGTGGTTTTACGTGTGTGTGTGTGTGTGAGTGTGTGTGTGCGTGCAAGTATGAATATGTGCGGTTGCATGCATGTGTGTGCACATAGGTGTGTGAGACAACATGTGTGCATCTGACAGTTAATGAGTGAACTTGTGTCACTTCCCCAGCAGCTGCTTGTGGTCTTTCAAACGTGTGTGTGTGTGTGTGTGTGTGTGTGTGTGTGTGTGTGTGCCCTTCTCACCTTTAACCATGCTGCTTCACAGCTGCTTACAGACATGTGTGTGTTTCTGTGACACTAGTGTGTGTGTGTGTGTGTGTGTGTGTGTGTGTGTGTGTCTCACCGTTCTGCAGGCCCATCCACAGCTGCTTGTGGTCTTTCTTCTGCATGTCATTGACGACTTGGCTCTTGTGCTTGAGGGCGTCGGCCTCCTTGATGCTGGACATGAAGTGAGCTTCGATCACAGAGTTGGACGGGCAGTGGAGCAGGTCACGGTCGGGGAAATTCTGTCACACGCGAGACAAAAAATACTTCCTTTTTTAGCCACAAGGGGGCAGACAAACTACAGCAGGTCTCAGATACACAGAAAATAACTTGTTAACGTTAGAATAACGTTACAGATTGATAATAACCTCTTTATTCTTTGGAAACGATGGCTAAACAAAACTAAAATTGTTTTGTTTGCTTTAATAACTGCGATAACAGCAGCAGAGTACAGACATACATAGAGAAATTAGGATAAAGAAACTTAGAGTTAAGAAAAAAGAAAAAGATATGTAGATGAGTCATATTCACATGTGTACAGAGTATAAATTATGATATGGTTTTTTGCACGCTGAGGTTTCGGTTGTGGAGTCTGAATGACCTGCGATACCTCTCCTTCACACACATTTTCATCCTCGACACTCAGAAACACAAACCCAGGATCAGCGCTGGGAGTTAAATTTGTTCAGATTTCTTAACAGCAGAAGTTTCCCGATCGACCGTGAAGAAAAATAAATATTTAGGTCACAGTTAATCTGATTCTGTCAAAGGAAACCCCTTTTTTACCAACCTGTTATTCATTTACACTGATTGAGAGGGATTGCTGATGGGCGATCCACATTGACTTGTTTGGAGAGAGAGTGATGCTCTCCATGGATACACATGCTTTATCAGATGTTTATCAGAAAGGCGCTAACAGGCAGGGGCGTCTCCAAACCTTTTGATTAGGGGGGCCCAATCTCACTCACACTGCTGGGGAGTGAATGCATGAACCTCCACATCTGTGAACGGCATTTATTATTGAATCTGTGCTCTAACATCAGGCGTGTAATAATCAGTAAATACAGTAGATACAGCTAAGTTCAATTTAAATCCTGTTCCTGACGAGGTAAACAGTCAAATAAGACGATATTTTGAGATGTTTTTTTAACACAATGTTTAATTTTTGGACAGTTTTACCCCTGACAAGAATCCAGAAAAATAAAAAATACACTTAAATTAAATTCCAGCTTTAAAACTAAACTGAAATAAATAACATTTAAATACGACCATTCATAAAAAGACGGATTATTCCTTTATTTTGATTTCTATCACACGAAAGAAGCTTGTGAACGCTCACCTTAAAGTGCACAATGATGCTCCAAGGTAAGACGGTGTTGGAGGCGTGGAGGTCAAACAGGACTCCGATTGGATAGTGCCTAAAATGAAGATAAACAGATTTAACACAGAGTCTGATGGCAGGCAGATTAACTCCTGTTATTATTCACAGTTGGTCTCTAAACTGAAACAACGTGGATTATTTTAAGAAAATAAAATCCTTTTTTTCTGCTGTTGGTGGGTTCACTTTTCTCATGACACAGTGTGTGAACTAAAAGAGACCGTTTACATTTCACTGCAACATTTCTGTTCATCATTTCCTCTGTTTAGAGAAGAGCCAATCTCCAGTGAATCAGTACACAAGGATTTCAATGTGTGTCTTTATCGCAGCCTAAAATCTGGAGAGAGTGTATTTTAGGGTCACTCACCCACACTAAACTTGACATCCGCCTTTTTTTCTTTTTTTTACCCAAAAGCTTATTAAAAACTGTTGTTAAAGTTTATTACACCCTGACTTTAAGTCTTTCATATTTTTTAAACACATTAATTTTAATTGTTTTTTGTCCTTCTAAGAGAGAGGGTAAGAGTCTAACAGAGAGTCTGAAAACCAATTAACATTTTCACACATTTGCTTTACAGATAATAAACAATAAACAACTATCAACACTAAAACCTTGTTTGTTCTTATTGTACTGAGATACAAAGTCAGACTTTTGAGATAAAGAGACAATTATGGGACAAAAAGTCAAACTCATAAGAAACTCTAACCTGTAAGATAGAAAGTTTAATTTATAAGAATGGATACTCTGGTTTTGTTTTTGTGTCCAGAAATGAATAAAGAAAGAAAGAAAGAAAGAATAAATGTAAAAATTATGAGTGTAAATGTCAAAACTATGAGACAAAAATCTACTTTATGAGCAACAAAGTCAAAAAATAAAAAATAAAAGTTAGAACAACGAGACAGAAAATCAAAATAACAGCTGACAGACAAAATTATGAGATAAATCAAAAGATAAGAGGAAAAGTCAGGATTTAATTATGAGATAGAAATACTAAGTTATAAAATCATGGGATTAATAAGTCAAAATATGAGATAAATATTCAAACTGATAAAAAAATCTGAATTATGAGATTGCCACAATAGAAAGTGATGTTCATAATTGTCTTTAAGTGTTTTGGATCTGATCAATGTCGTAACTCTGACACCTGGTGGCTGAATCTTGTTACTACAGCCTATAATCAGCCCGACAAATGCAGACAGGCAGCCGGGAAATCGACTTTGTCCCTGTAGTTTAAACCTGCTGAGTTCTTTATAAATGAAGAGAGTAAAGGTGAAGCTCTCTGGACCTCCAGCTCACATCGATACTCTGACAGTGTGGCGTGGAATCACTCACCATTTCAGTGGAGTTCCTTCGTACTCGAACCACATCTCCTCCACGTCTTCGGCCCTCATCACTTTGTGGAAATGTTTCTTCACTTTGTCTGTCACCAGAGTCAGGTAGCTCACCCTGGGTAACAGCAGCTGTGGAAGACATGAGGAAACACATTGTTGTTTATTACATGAAAATATAAATGTTCTTTATTTATACAGCTCTTTACAACAACCCTCTCAGTGAACCAAAGTGCTTTACAATACATAGAAAATAAAAATGAATAAATAAAAGCAATAGAAAAAGAACAAACTATTACCACACAACTAAACTATACAAACTATACAAACTATTTGTACATTTCTGTGGTCGGTATTAAGTCAAATCAGGGTGACCATACTCTGGATCTCCGAAAAGAGGACATGGCTACACCGGGTGGAGTCGTGCGCAAAATTTTGAGGGTTTTTGGGGTCGGGTTGAGTGTTTTTTACGTGCTTCTAACTCAGTTAGTCCACGCTACACAAACTCAAAACTTCCATACAAAACTTGTCCTCGTCTGTCTTAGTAAAATGACGCCACGCTTTAGATCGTTTCTGTCTACTTTTCGTTCCATCCACCATGTTTTTTCCTCATAGACTTCCTCTCACAAGACCATTTTCCAAAGCACCCGGGAGAAAGGAATCATTAAGGGAATCATTCAAATGAAATGTGAACGATGTCGATGGATTGAACCATTTGGAAGCGGTTCTCAACAAGAACCGGTTCTCGATTCCCATCCCTATTCAAAGAGTGGCATAAACAACTGTAAATAGTAAAAAAACGCCTGGAAGAATTAGTGTAAATATGTCAATAGTTTCTGTTGTGTGTTTGTTCCAATCCCAATATTTCTTCTCCTGATAGCCAAGACTTGACAGAATGATGTGCATGTGAGAAAAGACTTGGTCACTGTAGATTTATGTGTTTTATGAGCAAAGTAGTGTTGGTATCAATTCCTGTTTTTGTTTTTTGGTTGACTTTGATGGTTCTGAATCTACTGTCAATTTCATTTTACATCATTTTTGCTCCATAAACCAACAGCTGAGGTTGTCCTGAAACAAAGATGTGTTTATATTTGCTGTGATTGAAAGGATAGAGTTGATACAGGTGGACCAAAAATAGCAAACTATAGCTGGGAGTAGGACTGGGCGATTATATGGTCGTGATAAATTTCAGTTCGATCACGGTGATCAGCTGAGCATATTTACTCGATCAAACATAGAGGAAATGTGCATCACAACAGCCAATCAGAGTCAAGCTTTTCCTTTGTTATTTACTTTGTATGTTAATAAAATGTTGAACTAATCTCTAGTTTCTTTAGTTTTTAGTACAGATGCTTTAAAACTGGCAGTTTAAAAAAATCGTGATAATAATCGAGATCGGACGATACGACAAATTATATCGTGATCATTTTTTTTGCCAATCGGCCAGGCCTAGCTGGGATTTCTCAGGGTTAAGAGTTTAGTAGAGCCCAGTCACCTCACTGCACTTACATAGTAGGGCTCGGCCTCTCTCTCAGTCACCTCATCCTGGTTCAGGGTGAAGCAGGTCGGGATCCGGCCGAACCAAACGTCTCTCAACACGTCCTTGTCATCTGCCATGATGCTGCTGTGTCTCCCAGTGGCACATAAAGAAGAAAAGTCCTCAAACACAGCCCTCGAAGTTCTGTGGCTGACTGCCTTTTCCTGTCAAACACAAACAGCAAAGCAGAGAAGAAAACAGTCAGAAAACTTGGACAGAAACAGCCTCCAACAACCAGCCATGAAGGAGGCTGTGCAACATTAGCCTACAGATACACCAGCTTAATTGACGTTATTCACTTTTAATAACGTCCAAGAAGTCTCTATGAACCAGTCAGGGTGTTATTACTGAGTCATAGTTCAGCAGATTATTTGACAAATTTATTAAACTTTCAGAGAACTCAGATCCTGACAAACTGCGCAGATGTTGTGCAGAATTTGACGTTAGCTTGAGGGCTAGGTAAGCTAGCTTAGCTGGTTGAAACTTACCAAAAATGTGGAGAATCCAGCAGTATCTTTGCTTCTTGAATTGTGTTACAACTGTCCACAAACCGAAGTTTCTTATAATCCAGGAGGAGCCAGTAATATCTAAAAGAAACCTCACTTTTGTCGGTGTTTTTGCAGAAAGCTTGAATGGGAATAGGGCCGTAACTGGCGGTGTTATCATTCCAGTGCTGTCACCGGAACAGGTGTTACGCTTTAAAATGTTACCGTGTAAATTGGCGACTTAAACTTACGCACGCTGTTAGCCAATGGAGACCGACGTCCGCTTCTGGCGGCCATTTTGCTACAGGCAGCTCCCCCACTCCTAACATTCCAGTCTACGGTTCATGTAACATTTAAATAACCATAGATTGATTAAATTTTAATTGATTTTCAAACAGTTTGGTTTGTAACAAACCTCAGAGTTTTAGTTATGTTCCTGCATACTTAAGAATACTTAAACCATGGATTTTCATAAATAAACATCAAGCATATAGGTAGAGCAATAGCTATAGGCCTACACACACGACAGTTATATTAAATTATTCATATATAAAACATTAAATCGTTCCATGTAATATTATAATTGCAGGGATAACTATAATAACATATTGCAATAACATTTATAAATATCTATTATCAATGTAAATTTCTGCCTCATAGCCACGTTATAAAAGTCTGTAATAAATAAAACCATTTGTAAATCTGTCAAGATAATAGCGAGTTAAGAGTATTTTTTATCATATAGATTACTCACTGCCCGTCAGAATGGTACACTGGAGTAAGATGGCCGCCGTGGAGCGATGCCAGTGACTCCTCCTCGAGTCATTTAGCCTTTCTTATAGATATCTATGGTTGGGATGGTCAAAATTCTGATGAGTATAGATTCAACTCGAATAAACTTTATTGACATTAAAGTCAGAGGATTATTGCCAAAGCATAAGCAATATTACTAATCGATCAGTATAAAATAATTTATTCCAATTGATTCTTTTATATCATACTGAAAGTATGTATATATCTGAAAGGGCACTGCGGACTCTAGGTTAGGAATAGGTTTGTCGCAGTCATCACTTAGCAGGGTCACACTTTACATCACAACACCAGGAAACAGGCAAAAACTCTGATCACCGCAGTACACTGACCTCTAGCGCCGATTTTCCTCACTTTAATTTTATTAGAAAAATCATAATATACCTAAGAATTATGTAAAAGTGTATGCTGAGAGAATTGTATTTAAATTAGATAAAATATTTAGCATGGTAAAATGTTACTTAATAAGATATTTTCTACTGTTATGGAGGGAAAATAAATCGATCAAAATTATATTCTATTATTTTTTTCTAACGCGTCATCACTGTGCGACACCGTCCTTAGTCTACGGTTGTTTGGGTTTAGCAGTCGCTCGCACCGATTATTATTATCCTTAAATATGGACAAAAGACTGGATACAGACAACATGGAGATGCGTCTTCAGGAGCTGGAGCGGAGAATTTACGGAGAAAGGAGAAATAAATCCGGAAAACCAGCTAAGGTCAGTTAAAAGTGACGATTTTACCGGTAAAAGGAGGATTTTAAGAGGAGCTAAGCTGCTGTTAGCGGTGTGAGGGGGAGAGTTAACGCCCTGACTGTGTCAAACATCGTCTGTAGAGTCATTTCAGGAGTAGTTTCATGGTCATTTGTCTCTAAATTTCTTTTAAGTTCATTTATTTACCGACTAAAAGCTGAAGCGGTCAGTTTTTAAGGAGTAAAGTTCCTCATTAAAACATAGTCAGTCCGTTTACTGTTCGTTAATGTTGTACAGATGACAAAAATGTGTCTAAATCTTTATAAAAATTAACATTGAGCACATCTGTAAATTACTGCATATACAGTCAAATGCTTCAGTTAGTTTATTAACTCTAAATCGCCCAAAAACTAGTTAAATAGAGTCTAAAACCTGTTCACTGATGGTTTTGTAAACCTTATTTCCCTTTGAGTGTCTTGACTGATACGTGAACATGTGAAAGTTTTCCCTTTAAACATAAAATACACAGAGATGTAAAGGAGAAGTAACTGTAAGAAAAATGAAGATGGACGTTTTTGGCATAAAAGTGAGTCAAATCTGATCATGAGTTTGTAGCAGACAGAAGAAAGGAAATCCTTCTTCTCAGCCAACAAATGATCCTCTCAGCAGAGCAGCAGATGATGGAGACTCTGAACTCTATGGTGGCCGAGAGCTGCCACTGCTGCAAATAAAAAAAGAAGCAAAAAAAAAAGAAGAAGAAGCAAAACAGAAGTCTCCAATGCAAAAAAAAAAGAACCCAAAGCCCGCTGAAAATAAAAAAGAAACAGTGCTGATTAAAAAAAAGCCACAAAGGACATTAACGACACAAAAGAAAAAAAAAAAGTGACTTTTTTTTTTGATCTGCACCGTTTCTTTTTTATTTTCAGCTGGCTTTGGTTTCTTTTTTTGCAATGGTAACTTCTGTTTTGCTTCTTTTTCTTAGCATTCTTTTTAACGTTGCCTGATTTCTTTAGCAAAGAGACTAAACACAACTCACCTACTCTCTTCCAGCAGACGCTTTTTTGTAGCGAGACCTCAGGCCAGTCCATTATGGACTACAGCGGGGTGACGCAGCTCAAGGAAGAACATTTATGATCATTTCTTCATGGAAATACAATCAGACCGAGACGCTAAGACAGAAGAACTACCGCGTCTGCAGTGAAAATGATTAATATGGTGATTATTACTTCAAGGAAATGATAAAGAAATGATCATAAATGTTCTTCCTTGAGCTGCGGCACCCCGCTGTAGTCTGTAATGGACTGGCCTGAGGTCTCTCTACAAACAAGCGTCTGCTGGAAGAGAGTAGGTGAGTTGTGTTTAGTCTCTTTGCTAAAGAAATGAGTCAAAGTTAAAAAGATGTTTGGTGTCTAGTACTATGACTGTGACCCTATATGTCCTGTTGATGAAGTTAGGTGCTGTTCTGAGCATTATTTGTGGCTATAGAGTGGCGTTTTGGTTGAGCGCGTGGCTCTCTGTATTACTATCCTGCTGATGATCGATGAAATAGTCATCAGTATCTGTGTTTTATTGTATTGATTGCTGTTCGAATTGATGAGTTAAAAAGTGTGTCTGTCCATTTGGTCTGTCTTCACTCTCTGCTCCTCCCTCATGGATAGATACCATGAATTACCAACACAGACTTACCCTTACTGTCTGCCTGAGGATCTGGGATGTGATTTATTGATTTCTGATTTATTCCTGTTACAGAAATTTAAACCTGAGTAGATAAGAGCGCGAAAAACTGGTTGGGTGTCATTAAAAGTCGACATAGATCTTAATCAGGCTGTATCACATTTTATGGTTTTGCATTTTATTAACATCTGATAATAAGAAACTCTCTTGAGTGTGTGTAAAACTTTAACTGTTCGTGCTCATTTTTCTCTCCACCCCTGGGATCTTTAGATGTTGTCCTTCCTTTACACTCTTTGTTTCCTCGGTACATTAAATCTGATCAGTGCTGCTTGTCCTGCAGTGTGCCGAGTCTCTGACCAGGATTCAGGCGGGGCTGACCAACACTGCCAACAAGAGGGAGCGAGTGAAGATCCTGCACAAGAAGAGTGAGTCACACTTTGAGTCCTCGCAGTTTTCTCTCTTCATTTATTTCTGATTATATGAAGGGATGCCTCTTCAGCTCGATGGGATGATGCATGTGTCCTGTTGAGAAGTATTTACCACAGAGCTGTAAGATTACTAAAACAATTGAGTTTCATGAGTCGGCATTTTGCCACACAAACACATTATTTGATGGGCACTGTAAAGCTATAAAGAAAGATTTAAAAGGGTTTGTTTCTTGGCCAGAAACAAAGTGGAGGTTATATAAGCAGTTTCAAAACAATCTCCTGCAGAATTCCTAACAGAAATAAATCTTCTTTTCACCCAGAAAAGCGAATAAAAGATCCTAAAGCTCGGTTTTCTTTGTATAACAGTGTGTAGATAATTCTTTCAGTGATCTTGGAATAGGTAACTTTAAAAAAATATGAATAAATCTTCAAATTTAAAGTAGAAACTGGAGTAGACATGAATGAAATGACTTCAAATGCCAGATGAATCCTTGCTGGGTTGTTTCTGTTGTCTCTGATCATGTTTTTTGGTGTTTTGATGCAGTTGAAGACCTGATGAAGTACCTCGATCCCCAGTTCACAGACCACATCACCGTACCTGACGCCATGAAGCTGGAGTTCATTCTTGCTGGTAAGAACAGAACTGTAAAGAACTCTGATAAAATTATCTTTTAATATAATAACCTTTGAGTCTTATCGTTACCGTCTCAGTGATTTGCATGATCTGTATGTGATTATAAAGAATGTACTTTATATTATTCACGGCTGAAAAGACCGAATCCCGTCTCGCTGAAAACTCACTTTGATGCTAAAATGTGTTCGTCTGCACAGAGGAGGACTTCCTGCTTTCCCAGGCTGCTTTGCTGGAGCAGGTCAGCAACTTACAGCCGCTGCTGGACAGCAACTACATCAGAGGTGAGTGTCGCCTCGCTGGACAGCAAACAACGACTCCTTTTGTTTGGCTGTTTGATCACCACGTGTCCTCTCAAAGCTGCAGTATGTGTCAGGGTTTTAAACAGAACAGACTTGATAGAAATTAAACAAACGAAGTGTTTTTATATCACTCTGGTTTCATGATTGTTTCGTCTAGTTTCTCCACCTGCCTCTGACCACACTCTCGTTTCATTTCCATGCAGCATTTATATACAATGACAGCATTTTGCAGCTTTATTGTACAGCTGCAGGATCAATAACTGCGTCTGTCCTGCTCCTCCATCGAACCCGTGTTTTCCTCTTACTTACAGATGTACCAGAACACGCCACCAAACTGCAGCGTCTGTCACAGATTCACATCAAACAACAGGTAACCTTGTTTTCCCTCCTCTTCCAGCTGTTTGCTTCCTCCCCCCTTGAAGTTTGATCTCTTTACTCTCTTTGTCTTCTTTCAAAGGACCAAACTGAGGCCCAGTCCCTGGAGGTGAAGAAGCTTTTTGAGGAATACAACAAGACGGTACTTTTCTCTCATAAATACAAGATTTCTGTCTTTTTATATCGGGGAAATAAAACCAAGCACACGACAAATACAGCATTAGAAATGTAAAGAAACAGTAAAAAGTGCAAATCAATGTTTCTGTGACATATGGGATAACAGATATTAACCCTTGTGTAGCGGTGTGGCTAAAAAGAGCCACTAGGGACAGAATTTAGCCACCAATTTCCACCTAACTTTTTTTTTACTGCACCAAATGGGATGATTTTTTTTGTGGATGCTTATATTGATGGACACTTTGAAAATATTACTACCCTGCAAGAGATTTCCAGTTTAGGATGATGTTTTCTATTAAATATCAGTCAGTTTCTCCTATTTTTTCCCAATTAAAGTGACTTTTTTTAAAAAATTTGCCCTAAAAGGGTTAAAATTTTGATGCTTCATGAAAAATTTACTATTTTTGAATAGAGCAGGAGTTAATCAAGAGATATATGAAAAAAAAATCTGGAAAAAATATGAATCCAGTATGTTTTTACAGCAGTCAAAAAAGTGGCTTTTTTTAGCCACTGAGCGTTAAGATAGGATGTTTTTTGGAAATCTGATCCTACATAAAAAACTTAAAGGGCATCAAAGTCAATGATATTACTAATCCTTTACATATTTAAGACTTTATTACCCTGCAAGAGATTTCCAGTTTAGGATGATGTTTTCTATTAAATATCAGTCATTTTCTCCTATTTTTTCCCAATTTTGGTGACTTTTTTTTTAAAATTGGCCCTTAAAGGGTTAAAATTTTGATGCTTCATGAAAAATTTACTATTTTTGAATAGAGCAGAAGTTACTTAAGAGATATATGAAAAAAAATCTGGAAAAAATATGAATCCAATATGTTTTTACAGCAGTCAAAAAAGTTACCAAAGGGTGTAAATTGCGACGGTTACACAAGGGTTAAAGAGGCGGCGGTCTTATCTCATCCTAAAAACCAGTCTCAGATGAAAATTTGCATTTTTTGCCGCAGTATTTGCCAGTTTATGCCTCAGTGGCAGCAGACGGAGATAAAATGAGCAGCTCTCCTCCACAGATTGACTTTATATGACGTGTATGATCATCATTTCAGTAGAATTTCGTCCAGTTAGACCAAAGTTTCAAACAGAGCCCAGACACCAGTAAAGGTTAAAACGTAGAGGATGTGTATTTGGAGCGTAACTGCAGCAGCAGCAGCGTCTCGTATCTCGCAGCAAATATGTTTCCATTCTAATCAATGCAGTAAAGCGCGCAGGACGCGTCTCAGCTCCGTCGCAGCATCATATCGAGAGCAGCTCTGCTAAAGATACGCGGCAAGTCGATTTTTGCTGCTCAACGCTTCCAACACGCATCAACCTACACAGAGAAAAGCGTTCTAGACAGGAAGTCAAGCACGAAAACTGCGCATGTCATCCGGTATTTCAAAATAAAACACCATATGCGAATCTGGTATATGGAACTGCTAAATCCATCTGAAGGTAACAGCATAAAGGAACAGAGTTTACTTTATTAAACACCAGTAAACCTGCAAAAACACAAACTGGTAAATCACTTCAAGCTTTTTCACATATAGTAGAGGCTCAACAGTCACTGAATTATATCAGAATTATCAGGAAATCGACCACAGAAAGGAAAAACTATGCTGCTGCTATGCTCCAAATACACTGATCCTGTATGAGATACACAACGATGCTCTACGGAGCAAATACGGAACAACAAGCTCGATACGGATCCTGGATGTTTTCGGCCTTAAAACACCAAGTGCTAATAACACAAACTGCTACAGGGAGATATAGCTCCACCCACTGACCCCTGACCTGTGATTGGCAGATGTTCCTGTTATCAAAGCAGTTCACCCAGTGGGACGAGACCCTGAGGAAGCTGGAGGAGGCCAAAGGCATCCGGCCTGTGGAGTAGCTGCTGCTAACACACACACACACACACACACACACACACATGCACGCACACACACACAGGCTTCTGATGAGGATGGTGATGATGAAGAAGCTGCGCCGTGGTGGGAGTTTAGACTGGGCAAATGTTGTTTCCTGATGATTCGGAGCAGAAATAAGAAAAAAAACTCAATATTTCATGACGTTGTTTTAAATGACCTTCAGCAGAATGTCCTGGATCAGACTGAATCACACCCATCAGTGTTTCCCACACAATGACACAGCGCCGTTAGAGAAGATGGCGTCTTCTTTATGCACCTGACTTTATTTCAGTTTTGCAAATATCCCCATAATCACAGTTTCCCCTCTGCAGCCTATAACTGTGTGAAGTTCCCTCTACAAGCCTTTCTGCGCCCTCCCTTATACGACCCAGAACCCCTACAGTTTTTGGAGTCATTGCATCAACCAAGAGGGAGGTGCTGCTGGACCTCTCTCTCTTTCTGATCCCCTTTCAGGTGCTGCAGGTGATCAGATGCAAAGAGAGACTGTGCAGGTAACTGATTGCAGGTGGGGATCGTATAGAGGATAATAAAATAAAGAAAATTTGGTGAATATACTCGGGTATCACTGACGTGTGGGAAACACTGATTAAATGTATAAAACACAAACTGACTCAGACTCAGACTGGGCTGTAAACAGTTGAGGGAACTCGGTCTCATGTGACTCCTCATCGGTGGCCTGGAGGAACTCGCTCCCATCATGTGACGTGTGGCTCATGCAGCTCTGAGATGCTGCAGTTATTTATTTGAAGACAAAAGAGCTTCTTATGCTTTGATTTCAGCCTGTTAAACATTCCTTCTCTGCCTCGACTCATTCTCTCTCCTGTCCGAGCTCCTACACCCTCCTCAAGGCTTTAAATTCTCCTATAGAGACCACCACGAGTTCAGAGTTTCAGATCTCCTCATTTTTAAAAGGTCTTACATGGTTAATATGTCACACTGCATGGCTGTTGTCCCGCTAATAAAAATGATATCATTTCTTTGACTTCTCTGGTGTATTTCTCACTTTGCTTCTCCAGCTTTTCAGCCGATGATGTTTTTGAGTTAAGTCATATTTTTGGAATAATTCCTATAGACAGGCAGAGTTTGTAGATCCTGTAAGAGAGCATCTACTCCTTACAACAGTGGGGAGAATAAAACACCAACAAAGCTGCTGTTCATAGTTTTTAATCTTGAATCCGTCATACCACATGAGAGACAAAGAGAACAGAAGTGGCTGACACGTTTTCAGATGATTGGTTGTTGAGATATTTCTCAGCCTCCACTGGGGCCTGCAGCTGGAGCGTTGTTCCCTTGTAGGGAGTTTTTAACGAACTCTAGCATGTGTTTTCTCTTCATCCTCCACTCGTCAATGCAGATGCCTTCAGCGGTCATACCTATCTGTGAACAGAACAGACAAGAGGTGATTTTATTATTGATTAAGAGTGTGAAAGAATGAAAAGCTGCAAGCATCAAGTTTAGTGAACATAAAATATGAATGTTAATATTCTCAAAGCGGCAAGAATCTTCACAAAAGTTCTGATCTGTTCCTCTGGGAATAAATGATGAAGCATGATTATAAAAGATACTTACCTGCAGTGCAACCTTCACTCCATAACGCACAAAGGTGGCAAGGTGTTCACAGTTGTTGCTCAAAGCATCATACAATCCACAACTCTTACGTAGGTCTATAATGCGCTGCGTCATGTCTTCATCACTTCCTCTCTGAAATAATTCTCCTTTCTCGCTTTTGTATCCATCAAGGTAGTTGTGGACTTCATAGGGCTCAGTTTGTATCGAGTGTGGAGAATTTACATGAAGAATCCCCTAAAAGGAAATTAAGTTGCAGCAGGTCATAAATTTAAACTTTTCTCCATCTAATAAGTATTGAAAACTTTTCGATAAATGCAGTGACAGACAAACCCGGACAGGAACTCTTTATATTTCTGAATAACCTTTGTGTTGTCTTTACGTTTATGGTTTCCCGGGACCACTTACTCAAGCGTTCAAAAATGACCTCCCCGTCATTTTTTTTATCAAAGTGAACGTCACCAACATAGACAGCAGCATGTTTATACGTAAACCACGGACAACCTGGGAGTGTTCTTGGTGAAAAAAATATCATGTCTCCAAACTCGAGCTAAGGATGGAAACAGAAATAAGAGACGTGCGTTATCAACCTCAAAGAGCCCATAAAAGTGACAAAATTAAAGCGTTATGAGGGTAAATAAAAGTAAAGCAAACTTACTCCATTAATGTCAGCGGTGATCGCCACCAGGACTATCAGGCTGACTAAGATCACGGACCTCATTTTGCAGCAGTGAAGGACTGCAACAAAGATGGGTCATGTGGATAATCAATAATTTAAACAGCTGTTCCTAAAGTTTATAAAGTAATTGCCTTTCCTAAGTATGACTAACTGATTTGTTGAACTGCCACATTAATCACAACATTAACATCTGATATTCTGACGGTGCTATTCTGGACTTGCAAACTAAATTAAAACCAAAATGTCACCAGTGATCTTTTTTTATTTGGATAACTATGATGAAAAAAACATATCTGGAAAACTTACTGATTATTATTATGATTTAATTCTTATTAATCTCAGAAAGTATTCAGATTTGTTTGCTGGATTTTTTATTTTCCTGAGCTACCAGCCTAATCATCTGAATTCTAACAAAGTGAGACCTGAAATAATTCACTTCATGTGTAGCAAACATAGAATATATGAAAGTTAACCTTTTTGGATCAACAATATCAAAAATCTTTGAGAAGCATATTAGAAACACACAAACGAGTAAAGAGAGGGTGGATATAACAACCAAACTGTTTCAGTGAGTCACTGATATAAAATAGATCAAATCACCACTTACTGATGAGTTAAGGAGATATTACGAAGCTTCCTACCTGAAAATATACACAAATAAAAATAAAAGGTAAATTCATTTTCAGATTTCAGATTTGAGAAGAAGTCGTTACCTGAGGTCTTACCTTCTTCAGTGAGATGGAGGAAGCCTGTCAGAGCCGAACAAAGCATCTGTTTATATAGTCTTTAAGAACAGCTCATCTAAAAACGTCCTGTCTTTATCCTGCCGGGACTGATTTGAATGCTGCGACTTACAGTTGTAGAATTTACAACCTCCTTTGTTTGGATATGCACATTATTTTAACAGTCCCAAAGAAGCTGCAGAGAGCTGACCGATAACTGCAGTCTTACACTGGTCACCATCTTTGAACTTTACTAATGTTAGCTGAGGTCGTATTAAAAGCCTGAACTAGAAAAATCCTTCTGGGAAATTTGGTAAGGGCCACAGGGGTTACTGTCGGGGTGTTTACGTTATTAGGAGATTCTTCGGAGATTTCAAATAATTAATACAAGTATTATAGTGATATTATAAACAAGGAGCACACGTACAACAAACAGTCCTTTTTCAAATGTTTATTAATACAAGAGAAAAAATGGAGCCGGAACAGTCCATGTTTGAAAAACTCTGATAATTGCTTTTTTTTTTGGTTTGTCCCGTTGACTTCAAAATTTTTCCTCTTATTTTTTATTTTTTATTATTATTTTTTTTTTGTGATCTACGTCACAAAAAATTCATATCCAACAGAGAAAAGTAGTTTGCACACCACGTTTTGATATTTGTCCCACAACTCTTTACGCTGTAGGAGTGGTAGCAAATTAAGATCCAGCGCCTCACTGTGTTTGCCCCGTGGATCTAATTCTGCTAATAATCCACAGAGCTAGAACGATAGACTCCCAGATGAAACATTTAAATGAACTTTGAAGTAAATAATTTGCGTTCGAAAAAGAAATTTAAGAAAAAGATATATTCGCACAATGGTAAAAGGATCCTAACTCTTTTTTTCAGTTTTTTAAACTTATTTTGTTTTTGTTTTTTTTATGTACAAAGTCTTAAATTTGCCTCAAAAGCATGTTAACTTCAACAAGGTCAAAAGGGTGCTCAACTTTATCTCACCAGGTGGTTTAAAGATAAAGACAATATGATTCCTTTTTTTCATACAGAGATAATTATGTGAATGAGAGAACAGTGAGAGAACAGTGACAGAAAGATTAAAATCGTTTATTATGTGCGAAAAGGCCTGCAGAGAGTCAAATTAGGAGCTGGCCTCAGCAAGTTTATTGATGGTCCAGTCAAATAACAGATAAAAGTTCAGCTGGAGTTCATGATACAATTCAATAAAACGATTCAAGAACTTTATTGACCCCCAAAGGGAGATTAATTTTCTTAGCATTCAAATACAAAATCCACCGCAATAACCGTCCACAAGAAACCCTGTGGACGTTGTCTCTACAGATGTTCTCAAGTACAAAACCCAATTCCAATGAAGTCGGGAAGATGTGTAAATAGTGAATAAAAACGGAATACAATGATTTGCAAATCCTTTCCAACCTGTATTTAATCGAATATACTACAAAGACGACATATTTAATGTTCAAACTCATAAACTTTATTGTTTTTTTGCGAATAATCATTACTTTAGAATTTGATGGCAGCAACACGTGACAAAGAAGTTGGGAAAGGTGACAAAAAATACTGATAAATTTGAGGAATGCTCATCAAACACCTATTTGGAACATCCCACAGGTGAGCAGGCTTATAGGGAACAGGTGGGTGTCATGATTGGGTATAAAAGCTGCATGAGCAAATAGTCGAACAGTTTATGAACAACGTTTCTTTAAGTACAATTGCAAAGAATTTAGGGATTTCAACATCTATGGTCCAAAATATCATCTGGAGAAATCCGTCGGGAAACCAACACTGAATGCCCGTGACCTTCGACCCCTCAGGCGGTGCTGTATCAAAAAGCGACATGAATGTGTAAAGGATATCATCACATGGGCTCAGGAACACTTCAGAAAACCACTGTCAGTAAATACAGTTCGTCTCTACATCTGTAAGTACAAGTTAAAACTCTACTATGCAAAGAGAAAGACATTTATCAACAACATCCAGAAACGCCGCCGCCTGCTTCTCTGGGCCCGAGCTCATCGAAGATGGACTGATGCAAAGTGGAAAAGTGTTCTGTGGTCTGACGAGTCCATATTTCAAATTGTTTTTGGAAATAGTGGACGTCGTGTCCTCCGGGCCAAAGAGGAAAAGAACCACCCGGACTGTTATCCACGCAGAGTTCAAAAGCATCTGTGATGGTATGGGAGTGCATTAGTGCCAAAGGCATGGGTAACTTACACATCTGTGAAGGCAACACTAATGCTGAAAGGTACATACAGGTTTTGGAGCAACATGTGCTGCCATCCAAGCAACGTCTTTGTCATGGACACACTTCCTGCTTATATCAGCAAGACAATGCCAAGGCTCATTCTGCATGTGTTACAACAGCGTGGCTTCGTAGTTAAAGAGTGCGGGTACTCGATTGGCCTGCCTGCAGTCCAGACCTGTCTCCCATTGAAAATGTGTGGCGCATTATAAAGCGTAAAATACGACAACAGAGACCCCGGACTGTTGATCAGCTGAAGCTGAACATCAAGCAAGAATGGGAAAGAATTCCACCTTCCAAGCTTCAAGAATTAGTCTTCTCAGTTCCCAAACGTTTATTGAGTGTTGTTAAAAGGAAAGGTGATGGAACACAGTGGTAAACATGCCCCTGTCCCAACTACTTTGGCACGTGTTGCAGCCATGAAATTCTGAGTTAATGATTATCTGCAAAAAAAAAAAATAAAGTTTATAAATTTGAACATTAAATATCTTGTCTTTGTAGTGTATTCGATTGAATATAGGTCGAAAAGGATTTTCAAATCATTGTATTCTATTTTTATTTACGTTTATCACAATTGGGTTCTGTATAAACATGTTTTAAAGTATAAATATTCTGTCCGGCTGTATTTTTTTTTAAGTTAAAAAAGGTTTAAATGCACAGAAATATACTTTCTATATGTAGTATCTCTCTCATATATGTAGTCACTTCAACTTTTCAAAAATCAGGGCTTATTTGTAATTTTTCCTGAACTTAAGAGTGTCAAAATATCATGTGGTACGACCAATAATAACATTAATTGTATTAAATACAAACTAAAATATCTGATTTCTGTAACTGAAACATTAATACCTGATACAATATGCTTAAGTGAAAAGTTGTTTTAAAACATTTTTATCAGTATTATGCAATTTAAATAAAAAATTAGTCACTTATCTACATTTAATATAGTGACCGTGACATTGTAGAGCTAAAATGTGAGATCATTATTTACAAAAACTGAAATGAAATGCAAACGCTTTGTTTCTGTCTACTTGATATCACTGACAATTTGTAAAAAACTATAGAGTATGTGTAAAAAATTAATAATTTTGAGATAAATGATGGTCGCACTACATGACATTTTTTAAGGCCACGGGCAATTCATCTGTAAAATTGCGTAATTTAAAAATATAACATTCATTTTTGTGTACACAACATCCTCAGTGTTTTAGCTTTTGCAAAATATATTCTTATTTTTGGTATTTAAAAATTGGCATGTTTAAAAACCTTATACGTCATTGACTACAGTTGAGTACAACAGTAGATTAGGCCTGTTCCAACATCATTGCTATTGAATCATTACTTCCTTTGTCTAATCATAATCATAGCTTTAATTTTCTTGTTGTCACGTATATTTAGGTGGTTTGGGGACAAACCTTTGAGGAATTTCACAAATTCCCCCCCTAGAGGTGAAACCAGCCATTGACACGGGAGAGGACATGAGAGAGTTGACGAAGGTTGTTTATATAGAGAGGCTTCACTCAGTAGTATAGAACAAACACCAAACAATGCAGTTTATGGTGCTGATATACTCTTATCTCGGGTATTTTGACACACAAAGCTGTTTTTTAAATTATATATATATATATATATATATATATATATATATATATATATATATATATATATATATATTTATAAAACCTTTTTTGTTAAATTGTGAAATAGCCTCCAAAGCATGAGTTGGCATAATTTTCATCTCATCTTCGAATACACAAAAGAACTCATCTGTTGGAAGTCACAAACATATACGTTGTAATGCACTTGTATACAAGTTCAGAGCTTCGGTGTTAGCTTAATGGGCAAGTTTGTTAACATGTTCGATGTTACTAAACAACAGGAAAAGCGAGCTCGAGCTTATTCAATCTAACGGTAGAATTGAGTTAATTTACGAACCACTTAATTTGCTTTAATTTTACAACACACTGTCGTTTTGTCGTTTATTTATTCAGTAGAATACAACGTTTCGTGTAGTTGTATGAAATTGGCCATCGTGTGTTTTTGTTACAGAGTGAGAGGTTCTGCTCAGTACAGAGGATCTTTGGTGGTAGGATTGCACCAGTAGGAAGCCGCTCGTTTGACAGGAGGAGGAGGAGGAGGCGGGACGGGACTCTCCGGGTGGCGGCGGCTCGTCGGTCGAAGAGCAGCGGACCGTCATGGACAGGACGGCGGTGGTAAAGGTCGGAGCCGCGGCCAGCGCCAGCGTCTGTGCCCTGTTCGGCGGTGTCGTTCTGGCCCAGTACATCGTCGCGAAGAAGAAGCGAGCGGGCAAGAAAACCCGGATCATCGAGATGGTGAGTGGAAACAGAGAGCGCACGCGAGTCAAGACGGTTGGAGGCGGATAGATAAGAAACCGGAAAAAGAAGGGGTGACCTTCAAAATAAAAGCGCGCATTCTTTAACGGCTAACACTGTGACTGGTAGTGAGGATGCGGTTCTTTTGAAGTGGTTAAAGTAAAAAAATAGGCTGCTAAAACAGAAAAGTACTGACTCCCCTGTAAATTTTATGGCGTTATGCGATATTAAATGTTAAAGTGAAAGAAAAACTGCGTAAAATGTGTACATGAAATCTTCAATCAAACTTTATTTTTATTAAAACACTTTTCATACATAGAATGTTCCACAAAGTGCAGTCTATTCAAGTAGGACATTAAAAAAAACAATGAAATAAAATAAATACAAATACAAATACCAAACCCCACCCACCCTCCCAACCCACATTCAACACATACAGCACTCACACACTCACACACACACACACAGATGCACACACTAAAGGTGAGGACTCTTCAACTTCCCACAGATGACTGAGGAAACGCTATCTTGAGTTAAAAAAGATCAGGAAATATTTGACTTAGGATTAAAACGATAAAACCATGATAAAATATAATAAAGGTGATAAAATGTCAAAATTTAATTAAATAAAACAGTCTTAAAATCCAACAATAAAAGAAAATAAATTAAAAAAAGAGGTAATAAAACACAAAATAGTATTTCTAGAGCTAGAGTTCACACTGCAGGTCCTGATGCACAATTCAGATTTTATGTTAAATCCGATCTTTTTGTGCGGTCGCTCACATTACAACAACAAATGCGGCATCTAATAGGAACAGAATGCACACAAAGCACAAATTGCTTTCCGCGCCTGTTTGTCTTGTCGAACAATGGTGACAATTGTCGCATATTGATAATGTATAGTTCGGATGAATGCTACCTGAGCGTCCACACTGCAGTCCCATCGGATACATATCCGATTTAAATCCACATACAGACGAGGCCTGGGTCAGATTAGAACAAATCAGATATGTGTCACATATGGTTAAAAAATTGGAATTGACCTGCAGTGTGAACATAGCCTAGTACTAAAATAGGGTAAAATCACATAATGCAGATTAAAAGATTAAAACAAAATTCAACCTAAAGCCAGACTAAAAAGGTCGGTCTTTAGTTTGGTTTTAAAAATATGAACAGTAGGTGTCGCTCTCTTAAAAGAGCTTTAAAAACTAATAAAAGAACCTTAAAATCTAATAAACCAGTATAAGAGTGTCAAAATATCTGTGTAAATGGAAGTATAATGAGTTACAAAGATTTTCTCTGTTACAGCATTATGTTTATACACTCAACCTCTATGGGACATTGCGACATAGACGTGCTTTTAATCTGAAAATCATGACCGGAAGTGTGCATTAGCGTTTTTTCCACTTTACAGTCATGATCCGCACTGTGTCCTGCGCATGCGTAGCTATTCCCTAAAACAGCAGCTGTTTTTTAGAGGTCACTAGCTAGCTTTTCTTCCACAGAAAGAGCAGCGGGACATTGTGACAGTTTATCCTTTGTGTCAGGGATGCTCTCCGCTCCTCTGCTGCTGCTGCTGCTGCTGCTGCCTGCTCACAGCTCACCACAGTGTGAGGGTTACACAAGCTGCTGCAGACCAACACAGTCCAGCTATGTAACCAGTCTGACAGGAATCACGCCTCCCTGCAAACGTAAACATCTAAGACAAACCCAAGACAAATGGGATAAATAAGGAGAAAAGGACAACATGTGAGAAAAGAGCTCATAGCTGCCCTGGAGAAGCTTCCACATTAAGACATGATGGTTTCCTCTTCCTGTTTTAATTATAGTTATTATAATTATCATATTAAAAATAGTTAAAAATTTTAAAGACTATGCAGGAAGATGGGGCTGCACCGTTATAGCTAATATTGAAATCATAGGCACACTATCAGTGCACTGCCATTTTCTTGCAGTGCTGACATGTTGTTTGTTACGGTGGCCGAGAACCGCGAGAACTGCTGTAAATAAAAAAGAATGCAAAGAAGAGAAACCACAACGGAAGTTACCGATGCAAAAAAAAGAAACAGAAGTATGTTGCAAATAAAAAACGAAACTGTGCAGATTAACTAAAAAAGCCACAATGGAAGTTAACGACGCAAAAAAAGTGGTGATGCAAAAAAAAAAAAAAGTTACACACTGTGAAAATAAAAGGATGCAAATGAAAAAAGCCACAATGGAAGTGAGCTGCTGGGGACCGATAATGATGATGCACCAGTGTTTTATGATCTCGGCACAGAAGATGACGGCGAGAAGACGAGCAAATAAGTAAGTGGAAAGGTTATTGTTTAATTTTACTTCGTTAAGTTTTCAATGTGTCATTTGGTCATTCTGAAGTTGAACTGGAGGATGTCGGTGTAGTGTTAGCTTCAGTTCAACTTCATATCGACTCAGGCGCTACATGGTCTAACCACATGACACATTAAAAAGTTTACAAGGTGAAATTAAACAATAACCTTTCCATGAACTTCTTTTCTCGTCTTTTCGCCGTCGTCTTCTGTGCCTAGATCGTAAAACACCGGTGCATCATCATTATTGGTCCCCGACAGCTCACTTCTGTTGTGCCTTTTTTTTTTTTTAATCTGCACCGTTTCTTTTTTTCAGTTTGGGTTTCTTTTTCTTTGTGTCGTTAACTTCTGTTGTGACTTTTTTTGCAATCTTTTTTTATTTGCAGCAGTGGCGGTTCTCGGCCACCGTAGTTTGTGTCTTGTCTGTTACTCTGTTGTGGTTTTTACCCATAAAGCCGGAAACACAGCAGAGTTTTCAAAGTGGACATCCTTTATCGCTAACTTTGAGTTTAGTGTCCAGATTTGTCATGACAGCTAAAACTCCGTCATGCACTGAAATCACAAGACAGCATATCAATCGGAAGAGAAATCTCATCATGTTTTCATATCACGAGACCACGTATCACCCCTGCTGTTTAGTGCTGTGGCCTTGTTGTCCGTGCTCACCCAGTCCCTCTGCTTCACTAACACACACACTTGATTTCCTTGCTCCCAGCCTGCTTTGCTGCAGATGGTTTTCTGTGCTCTCAGTTCCGCGTCTTTGAAGCAAGCTGTGTTGGCCAGAAATCGTTTTTTAGAGAGATGTTGTATCTCAGTAGGAATAAAACTGAAAAATATTGACAGCAACTCATTTAATTATTTAGGTAACTTTAAAACTTAAATATAAAAATCTATCAGTATCCTTACAAAACAGAGATGCCTGTTTGTGTCTTCTAGGCCTCACAGAAGATACTTAGACTTTGTATTTTGACGTCAGTAGAAGGCGTTGTTCTGCTCCGTAACTGCACCAGGATCTATATGATTCATGTCTGAGTTATTTGGCCCCACCTCTATTTGTAAGAACTGTCTACCCTCACAGATACCTTAACACACCTACGAGGTTATTCACCTGAAATAAACTCTCTGGTTCTTAGAGGTATCGAAAAGCGTCAGTGCTGCTTGATAATAATAAGAGATTAAAGTCTCTACTGTCCAAATGGGAGCATCACAATTCTGTGCACTTCAAAAATACTTCTTCTGAATGTTGTTTTGTGGCCCTGCTGGCCTCCGTATGTCCTCTTAACTCAGTCAGTCCATCAGCTGACATGAATGGATCTCCAACAGTGTGAGCAGATGAAGATCAGGAGGAGCTTCTGCTTCTGCTAATGTGATTTAGTTTCATTAACAGAGCTTACATGTCCAAAGGGGCTGGTTTCCACTCAGAGCCTCTCATGTAAATTTAGACCCACTTCTGCTGAGCTTATTTGGTTTGTTTGCATTTATTCAGATACATGTGTTAACCTGTGAAATCCAGCCTTCTTTCCTGGATTACAGAGTTGTAGCTGCAGACTCCCACAGATGTAGTCCAAACTGTCTGGACTGAAATAGGCTTAAAGCAGCGAGCGTTCAGGCTGTGTGGCTGCCCGCCACGCTTTGTTTGTTCAGCTCTTTAGTAAATCCAGCCGTCTGGTCAAAGAGTGAAAGTGGATGATGAGTTCTGCAGCTCCAGGATAAAATCAGCCGGCTGGTTTCCTGTCTGATTTCGGCGTGTGAAATCTTGACCATCTGCCTTTGATGAGGCTGTAGGAGCGCAAACATCCGCCCAGAGCTCCAGGGGTCCAAAACCACGCCACAGGCGCTCAGTCGGGCTTTCAGTTTCTGTCAGAAATTCCTCTTTTAAGTGAGTTTTATGACTTTCCTGTCTGACACGAGTCCTTTTAAAACCTCTGTGTCATTTTAGAAATACGAGGACAACATCGAAGAACAAACAAGCTCTTTTCTTTATTCACTCTGAATCACCGCTGAGGTTTTGTTCACAGCTGACTTTGTTTTTAGATTATTGCTCAGTTTCACGAGTCTGTCTGTCGGCCTGCACTTTCAATCAGAACGTTAGGAAGAACTTTCTGTTTCTGTCAACTTTGGCGCCCCCTGTGGACAAAGTCATACCTTCTTTCTGTGCTTATTTTGTTATGTACATCTGTGAGTCGTGTTTCCAGACAAGAAAAAAAAGACTAAAAAATGCATCACTGACTGTGAATAAAAAGGCAGAATCATCTGGTCTGACCCTGACCCCCTCACAGCAGTAACAAACACTTCTCATACGGAGATAGAAATGGTCTTGTCAGCTTTAGTGGGTCATAAAAAAGCATCCCTAACCAGAGGAAAACTCCTCGTTGGAGCGTTGAATGACTCCTGATGAAGAGTGGCAGAAATGATGGTCATGGTTTGGAGTCATTACTGCAGTATATATATATACATATATTGTGATGTGAGAAAACACCGGAGAGTTTAACAGATACATTCAGTGCATTTACTCATGCTTAGAAATGATGAGGAAATTATAATATTTATACTCTGACTTTTTAATTTCATCTCCCTCCTCACTTACATAAGAGTGTTCAGCTCTCTGACAGCAGCTCTGACTCCTGTCAAAGAGACAAAGGTGGAGCAACAAGAAGCTTAACTCATGAATGAAACTGACTCACTTAACGCCTAATTGATAATTGCTGCCATTGTTAGAGATTATGTTTAATCTGCGTCACAAACCCTCTGACAGTAACTCATCATTGAACAATAACTCACTGTCTGTCAAGAACTCATTGTCAGTGAGCGCTGAGACGAGCTGGACGACACCGTCTTAAATCAGTGATGCTTGATTGGGAGTTTTTCTGTGTGTCTGTGAGGGTCGCAGTGTTAGGACTCGTGTGCAGGTTCACACTCTGCAGTCATGTCGTACACAGACTCTGCAGTAGGGCTGGGCGATAATCCAAAAATTTACCAATACCGAAATTTGCGACAATAACTGACGTCATTTTGTCCATATCGGTATATTCGGTGTCAATAAAAATAAATAAATCAAAGTTGTTTTTGGATGTGTGTAGGTAGGCTATGGTCTCATGTCCCTTTAAGACGCTGTCCTACGTCAGAGACGTGACTCCACCCCATCCAGTCTGTAACAAAGAGGGAAAGACAGATGAGGAGATGGAGGACGGAGAGAAAGTTGTAGCGGCTGAAGTAGACGAAGTTAATGTGGGAGGGGCTGAGCAGCTTGTGGAGTAGTTATTGTCCATTTATCATGATTGTTCGTCACAGCCCTGAGTAGGAAACACATCTTACAGCACAGAAAAGTGTTTTTTTGTGGCTGTAAAGTTTGTGAAAGTTTCAGAAAGACCTGATTGTATTTTCTCATGGGCTCCACAGCAGGACAAATTACCCTCTAACCACAGGGTTCATCTGTTCATGCTAAAATACACAACTAGGTTCTGTGGAGACAGAGAAATATGAGACGTTTCCAATAATCCAGGTACGAACTGTGTCACTGTGTGAAGCACTGGAGGGTATTTCACTCATTTAACCTCCAGAGGGCAGAACTGAGCCGCACTTGAACACAGGAGCTGCACGTCGTCCCTTTAACTGATGAGAAATGAAATCGTATTTAAGGATAAAAATCAAAACTGTGAGATAAAGTGAGACTTATAAGAGTGAGTCACACTTATGAGATTTTAGGATTGACTAATGAGATCGGGAGTTATTTCTTAATTCACACATGAGAAGTCGTAATTTTGAGATAAAAATGAAACATGAGACAGCAAGTCATAATGTTGAAATTATGAGATGGTGGTTCATAATTATGAGATTAAAAAATCTAAATTATGATAATTCGCTCTCGTTTATTAATATATACAACATTCTGTCTTTATCTTATAATTTGTACTTTTTTAATCTCATAATTATGACTCAGATTCCCATCAGTCTCCTTAATTTTACTTTTATCTCATGACTTGAACCTTCATATCGTCTGTGCCTGCAGAGAGTCTCAGGATGTCCATGAAAGGATGTTTTAGAGAAGAGTCTGAGCTGACCGGCGCTTTATCAGTGACAACAGACGGCCGCCAACAAAGTTTTGCTGAGTGAGGGAGTAGAGCAAGAGTATCAGCATTAGTTTTTTTTTTCACGATAGTAGAAGTGAAAGAGTTTAAACTGGTGCTGTCGGCCCAGCGGTGCCTGCAGTACCTGGAGTTGGCGGTACCGTGGACTTGCAGATGTAGTAAATATAGCCACCGCTGCAGAGGTCAGGATCAGCTGCAGCAGAGTCAGGGTCAGGATTCCCTCAACAAACCATGAACTCCCACCTTCAGAGGAGAGGGGAACACTGCTGACCTCTGCATTTTTAACCCACGGTGACTTTTGACCCTGATTGGCCAAGGCTGGGATTACAGCAGCCTGACCTTTATTCAAACTTGTGGGTCAGAGGGATGCTTGGTGAAGTTGGAGCTGCTGATCTTCACTTCAGGGAGAGTTGGAGCTAAGATGGGCCTCCTTGTAAACAGCTAGAAAATGCACCTACCTGTTCATCAGTTCAGCTCTGCCTCTAATTACACAGATTCCTGTTTAGTTCTTAGTCTCTCCAAACCTTCTCCAGCTTCTGCAGGCAGCACTTGGGATTTTAAACTCCTCTGACCAGGTGTTCGTAGTGATTTCTCCTAAAGTAGTGCATCCAGCGAGGAGGAAAAATAGGTCAGGAGCAAAAAATTATTTTACAAATGTATTTAAGAATAAACCCCTAAAAAAAGAGCTTCTTACATATTCTCCTGAGTACATTTTCCTTTATTTTCCTGACATTTTAATTTGAAGTCTAACCCCCAATTTTCCGATTCAGAACAGCGGTGATTTTTAGCGTCTGCCAATTCCTACCGGCTCTGTTTGTGAGGCAAATTTCATGGCGGATTACGGACAGCGGGAATCGTATATAAGCAGTAGATTGTGTCCTTCCAGAGGAGGAAATCTACTTCTAAACTTCTAGAATCAGCATCTCCTCATCCATGGTGTCATCGGGGTGAAATGACGTCTAAAAACCTTTCACTTGTTCGTCTCCAAGGTTGTTCGTCTGTGCCCGACTTCCTTTCCAGCACGGGTTAATCTGTGCTGAATTTATCCGCCATGCTCCGGCGTCCAGAAAAACTAGAACTCTTGTGATCAGCTGAGGAGTCCGGCGATCCGCAGAGGAACGGAAAGAAGTCGGTGGAAGTTGACACGTTAACTTGAATGGTTACGATCGGCTACGATCGGAGGATACGACCTTTTGGTAGCTGTTCCTGATGCGGTGGAAATTTGGGGTAAGGCCTTTGCTTTTGAGGACAGCCTCAAGTGGTCACTCCAGGAACTGCATCTGTTTTGCACATCTTCTTTTTCTTCTTCCAGCTTGTGTTGAATTTCTTCTGGGCACTGAAAGCGTTTAAAGATACTCAGAGAAACACACACCACTGTGCAGAAATACTGACACTGACACAGAGCTGTAAAGATTTTGTGTTGTTGAGGGAACATCAGCCTCATGATCACTCTGACACTTTTGGGTATTCAGGCGACTCCCTTGCATGATTTTGCAGAAGTTGCACTTTAAAACGATCACACCGGACGTCCAAACACCAGAGTTAGCTGTTTAGTAATGCAAATAGCTGCAAAGCCGAGGATCAAACCATTGTGCAGCATTACAAAGAAAAACACTTCCTGCTGGTGACTGTGTCCGTCTGTGCATCTACAGCTGTGATGGTGTAATCAGAGAGGGTCGACCCAGTTTTCAGAGGTGGTGGTATTTAAGGTTAGGAGAGGGAGGACCAGGTTGACTCATGTTCCAGCCTCGAACATCAACAGTACAGAAGACAGCAGGGAGCCGAGCCTCGTTCAGCAAAACATGAGCCCCTGACCGAGTGTCAGGGTTGCATAATGCTGGAGCGCAGATTGTTTTTCTTCTACCCCTCATTAGGTGAGGATTATCATGCATCAGCAGATATTTGACATTGTGAAAGTGTGGAGAGAAAAGACGAAGGGGGAGCGGTATCTCTGCAGGCTGAAGATGCATCTCACCTCCTGGTTAATCCCGTTAAATTCCTCTTTTATAGTCTAGTTTCAATCATGAGTCAAAATTTAACACCTGCTGAACCTACCTCAGAGTCACAGTGCGTGGTACAATGACATGTAATATCATCATTTTAGATGAACAGATTAAATTCCTCCTTCATTTTGAGTTTATTCTCTAAAGTCCTGATCAATCAGAGCAACAGCAGTTAAAGTTTTTAATATAATCAGCTGTTGGAGATCAGATTGAGAGGATTAGAGACCGTTTTTTTTACCCTTACAGTCATTGAATTAAATAATTTAGTCGTCTTTGATGAAGTCTGTTTCTGAAAGAGATGTCTTCAGGGTAAGGGTTGTTCACACCGACTTTTGTAAGACCCCGCAGGGCCACAGAGAAGCTTCGAAACGAGAACCAGCTCATCCTGAAAACAGATCCTGTTTGTGTGCATGAAACCCAGTCAAAACCTCGGACACGCTCAGACTTGTCTTTCTGTATATTTTGCGTACATACACGACCTAAATATCCCAGCAGCAGCAGCAGCAGCAGAGAACAGAGGAGTCTGGACTCTGTGGATGTATATTTGCGTGTCTTTGCATCCATGTGAGGCATGTCCATTAGCCGTGTCAGGATGCTCACTCTGAGCCTTGACATCTGTGACCTCTGAAGCCCTGTCACTCCATTTATTACGTGTGTGTGTGTGTGTGTGTGTGTTTGCAGAAGGAATGTGCAAATTGTGTGCACTCAGCAATAATGGTGCTGAAGCCGCCCTAACTGATTGATTTTAAAGGTTTCTCTTAAAAGGGGTCAAAGGTCACTGCGAAATAACAGGAGTGTATTCTGAATGTCACTGTTCCTCCTCTGCCGGCTGGTTCACAGTCTGTTTATATGAACTCAGTTTGTGCTTCTAGGTGTTGACATGTGTCAGCTTAAATCATGAGGCTAAATTTGACTCAGTGGAATAAACACTGGTGGCTGCCGGTTAAAAAGTCCCAAACTGGAGGGACAATGGAGTGAATCGTATCGTATTGTATGATATCATATAGTTTCATATTGTATCCTAACATATCGTATCCTATTGTATTGTATTGTATCATATTGTATCGTATCATATTGTATCGTATCATATCGTAACGTATAATATCGTATTGTATATTATCAGATCATATCATATCACATCTTATCCTATCGTATTGTACCATATCATATTGTATCGTTTTGTATCGTATTGTACCGTATTATATTGTATCGTATCGTATTGATAATATAATGAAATAATATAATATTGTATGGTATAATATCGTATTGTACTGTATCATATTGTATCGTATTGTATTGTATCGTATCGTATTATCGCCATGGAACTAAAGAAAACAACTTTATTTCTGTGTCAAAACATGTCTTTCTCACTTTAACAGATAATCTAAAAAAAAACATATAATCCAGATTGTAAAATAAACTTTGCAACAGTTAAGAACATCTGGGAAAAATGCAGATTTTATACGAGAAACCATCCTAACCCTGATTTTGACGGGCACATAACAGCAGTATCTCATTTTGAAGAAGAGACTTCTGTTGATGATTTGACGCCTGTTAAACCTTTAAAAAGCAAACATCAGAGATATAGAAGCGTTGTTCTGTTAAGGACTCTGCTCTTCATTTCTTTAAGTCCAAAAATCAATAAAGTTGGAGTTTATTGACTCTGCTGCTGAGTCTTTTTTTTTTCTGGCCATGACATGACGGTATAGATCAAGTTATGTGGCAGCAGATTTTCGAGCCTGTGTTGTGTTCATGACTGAAGCACAAATGCAAGTGCAAAACAATCTCCTGCAAGGGGGAAACCCGTCCTGCAGAGCTGAGCACATCATTACTGTTAATAAAATTAAACCAACATACCAAACCTTTACGGTCTCTACTGCTGCAGATCAGTCAACCTCTGTCCAAACTTTAATCAGTTTCTAATTCCTGAATTAAAACCACTGATGTCAGATAAATTCAGAGCAAATATTTGAACAGAAATACAGTGTTTACTTTCCCAGCCACTCTAACAGGAGCCGCGTCTTCCCAGCAAACAGGAGAGGAGGAATGACAGCAGAGTCAATAAAGACTTGGATGGATTAGGAGTTTAAAAAACAGAGTCAATGTCTGTTTCTCAAAGACAGACTCAGTTTAACCAGTGAGTGAGGGTTTATGACTGTATTTGGTCGTGTGTTTTTGTGTATGTATGTGTGTTTGAGGCTCTCTGTGCAGGGGGAGGGGCTTTGTTGTTGAATCTATGTTAGGCTCTGCCCCCTTCCCTCCCTGGCTGTTGCTGTAGATATATAAGCCCTCTGCAGCCTCACAATCTTTTCCTCACTCCTGTTTTATCTGAGACAACAGACCCGAGGTAAGAAAGTGTGTGTGTGTGTGTGTGTGTGTGTGTGTGTGTGTGTGTGTGTGTGTGTGTGTGTGTGTGTGTGTGTGTGTTTTGTGAGCTGTAGCCACTTCTCTGTCATAATAACAACTTAAACCAACATCTCTGCTAAAATTTCTTGCATCAAAATGTGAAACTCGATGTGCTCTCTGCTCATTAAAGTACTTCAGCTTCATTATTTGTTCTTTAAAATAGAGAAATTAAGATTTTCTTCAGAGTGGACTGACCTGGTGTAACCTGCACAGGCTTAGAGGATAACATCTTTTTAAAGTCTGCAAAACATTTACAGTAATAAAAAAAAAGCACAAGAATCCTAAATGATTGGCAGCATTGTCTGTCTGTACTGTCCGAGTGTTTTACAGTTTGTTTAGTGTTCGCTCAGAGGAGAGCAGGTTGAATTTCTCTGCTGTCAGGGGAACACGCCCTCTTTGAAAACTTCCTCTTTACTGCAGGTCTGGTGAGCATGTAAAAGATATTTACATAAACAAATGTTCGATCACTGTCGAGTTCTGAAGATGTGAAGTGAAAGAGGTTGTTTTGGTCTTTGCACACACAGAGTTATTAATGTCTGAGTCTTATTAGAGAGTAGACAGTACGTAATAAAGAGCTCAGTCTTATTTAGAGTTTGCTGCTCCTGGTGTCGAGTGTCTGTGAGATAGGATAGATTTATGTGCAGCTGAAACATGATACTGATTATGTAAGTCTGGTGGATGTTATGGATGGGGGTGGGGAGGTGTGTGTGTGTGTATGTGTGTGTATTTTAGTTAAGTAGTTTGCATCAGCATAGATACATGCACTAGGAGCACAGCATGTTTGTTGCTTCTCATATAACCCTGAGCTGTTATCATATTACCGCCCACAGCTGAGATAAACTCAAATGTGTAAATAAAGCTGCTGCTCTGCTGTGGTTATGAGGAGAAATCATTAAAAAGTAGACAAAAAAAAAAACAGGATATTTTACAAAATTAAAGAACTACACCCATGTCTTTATGATTATAATATCCAAATGCAAAGTTAAAACTGCAGTTCCTCAGGTGTCCACTAGAGGCTGGCTCCAGAACCTAAACAATCTCCATTAGAGCCCATACTAAAAAGCCTGTTTTTACAGTCTGGTTCATAAATTGTTTTTGTCTTTATACTCTCAATAAAAAAGGTGATTTTTTTTTAATGATTCACTTTGATCACATTATGTCTGAGTGTTTTGATTGATTAGGCGTAATTAGGGGCGTGGCTAATGTAACTCAGCTGATTGTAAAACAGCCACATTATGATCTTTTTTCAATCCATTTTTCTTTTTGTTTTTTCATTTATTTGATAAAAAGCTGAAGAGAGACAGAAAAAAGGGAGAGTAGAAAGTAGGGGAGGACTTTAGGGGCGGACCGGGTCTCAATCTTGGTCAGTCTTTGGGGCCCACATTTGACTTTTGGCCGATTATTATCTTTAATATCCTTCAATTCTCTCTAATTAATTAAAAAAAAACTTTGGTTCTGTCTACTCTTGTCCCATCCACAACATCATCTGATCCACCAAGAGATCACATGACCATGCTGCGTATGTACCTGGTCACTATTTACTTCTATATGATGTTCAAGGCACATATTTAACTTATAAACGAACTGGCGCCAAACTTTCCTGGTTAGTTTTAGTTGGCGATTCCAATATGGAGGATGACGTCACAGAAGCTGCATCCGTCGGTGTGTGACCCAGTCTCTCCTGATCACATCCTCAGACTCCTGACTTTGCTCAGCTCAAAGTGGTGGATGTATTTCTCCCATAAACATGTTTATTTACGTTAAAATCAGCCTGTGATCTGTCGAGTTTTTAGTGCGGTTAAACTCATGCATGTTAAAATGTCTTCAGCTTGTAATGAGATTATCTCAAAAAGCATTTCCTGTTGGGTAATGAGCTTCTCGTTTGTGCGTAATCCTGTGATAGAGGGTATTTTGTAACTTCAGCTTTACTTCATTTCCACTTTAGAGAGCGGTTAGAAGCTCAAACTGCAGGTTTGGTTGCAGCTGATGGTCCAGGTCCACAGTCATTTCGTCCAGAAGTGACTTTTACTCAGCAGTTTTCCTCCTCTTCCTCGGTCCTGCGCGCTCGCCCAAATGATTTCTGTTGTAGATGGAAACTTCTGGGCGCAGGAGAGAGCGAGAGAGAGAGAGAGGACGGCTGAAAAAAAGCTGAATGGGGTGATCATTTGTGACAGACGGTCTGTTCACATTAACATACAGTGTCTGAAGATTAGTCAGAAAGTCTCACCATCACACCGTAAAACCAGGAAACTGTCCTTCAGACGTTTGTGTCGTCCTGCAGAAGATCAGACCTGCTGTGCTGCAGCTCCCTCCTCTCTGCAGGGCATTAGTGTTCCTGTTTGTGTGGCTGCTCAGCTTGTTATACAACACCAGCAGATTCCAGACATCAGCTGTTTAACGACCCTGAAACTCCCTCCACCAGTCTGTCCGTCTGTCAGTCTGTGTGTGTGTGTGTGTGTGTGTGTGTGTGTGTGTATATTCATGTGTGTGTTTGAGTGTGGGATAAACAGGGAACTGTGTGTAAGACGACCCCGATCACAGGACTACCCCACCTCTGCAAAACTCATTTAGAGCCTAATTTAATTAATTGTTTATTTGGTGCTGCAACATCCAACCATGCAGACATCCTGGAGTGTGAAATTCTCATTTACCTCACCTGTGCATGGAGAGCTTTCTGAGTGAGTTAGACATAAAGACAAGAAAGAAAAGAGAAACCGAACTTCTTCAGTCTGTAATCTTCATCTCCTTTTTCTCCCTCCAGATGCCTCAGTTTGAGAAGTCGACGGTCCACATGCGGGACCCTGAGAGGGTGGAGCAGATCATCTGTGGCCTCATTAAAGGAGGAGCCTCCAAACTGCAGGTACAGGACCTCCTGAATTTAACATTCAACCTCAGCTCTCTGTGCATGTGAAGAACAGACGATAAAAATGAACTCGCCTGTAGAACCGATGCATGCTCTGCAAAAAAAGAGGAGGTCCTTTCGTCGCCTTTCATACGGCTGTTTCAAAGTTCTGCACTTTCTGAGTTCTGGATCATTTTAAAATGCATCTTCTACTAACCTCACATAACATCAGCTGTGCATCTTTGTAAAACATCCAGCTGATGAAACGTGTCAAACAATTAGACACGCAGAAGAAAAAGGATCAGGAGATCCACACCTGTGTGTGCAGAGAGAGAAGAACACAGTTTATAGAACTTCTGTAGAAATTCATTAAACTTTATTAAACTTAGGAACTTCTTTTCTGCTCGTATTGTTAAAATTTGAGTCATGGACCACATGATTAGACTCTCTGCAGGTAAAGAAACAGAATTTAGGTTTATAAAAATGGAATAAACTGAATGACAGAGATAAGAAAACAGATTTCTTGAACCTTAAGGTTAGAGAGGTGTTCAAAAAACACAACCAGACGATCTTGGTGTCAACTTCTCCGTCAGTTCTTCACTGCCCCCTGGTGGTACTGAAGCTCCCTGAACCTGAAGTACACAGAAACCCTCTGACCTGATAATCAAACCTTTCTCTGCTCTGTTTCAGATCATCACAGACTTTGACATGACGTTAAGCAAGTTCGCTGTTAACGGCAAACGCTGCCCGACCTGCCACAGTACGTATGAAGCTCTGCAGCGTCTTCTTTGATCAGATTGTTGTAGATTTTCTTTTCTGAAACAGTAAAATAAATGTTAACGGAGTCGTCCTCCCTCTCTTCACAGATATCATCGATAACTGTAAACTGGTGACAGACGAGTGCCGACAGAAGCTGCTGCAGCTGAAGAACAAATATTATCCCATCGAGATCGACCCGTACCTGACCATGGAGGAGAAGTACCCCTTCATGGTGGAGTGGTGAGACACACAGATTTAATAAGTCATTCTGCTGTAGTAGGATAAACAGAACGGTGTAGAAACTGCTGGTCGTGTTTGCAGGTATTTCAAGTCTCACACACTTCTGGTGGAGCAGCGGTTAGAGCGAGACAAACTGTCGGAGGTGGTGAGAGAGTCTGACGCTGCACTCAGGTACCTCCTCCTCTTGTTTACTGTTGCATTGTGGGAATGTGAGGCCCTCATACTCAGATGTTCAGATCAGAGGAGCTGTGTATGAGTAATGGTTTATCAGGCGTCCCTCACTAACTCTGTGTCCTCCGTCTCTCAGGGACGGTTTTGAGCAGTTCTTCGACCGCCTGCAGCAGCACAGCGTTCCCGTCTTCATCTTCTCTGCCGGCCTCGGTGACGTCCTGGAGGAAATCATCCGTCAGGCTGGAGTCTACCACCCCAACGTGAAGGTGGTCTCCAACTTCATGGACTTTGACGACAACGTGAGTCCTGAGTTCAGACACTTCTGTTCTTCCTGGGCTTGTTTTACAGCTCAGTGTCTCACCGTGCTCGGACCTGCTCCTCCTCTCACAGGGCGTCCTGAAGGGTTTCAAAGGAGAGCTGATCCACGTGTACAACAAACACGACGGCGCCCTGAGGAACACGGAGTACTTCAAACAGCTGAAGGAATACCACAACATCATCCTGATGGGGGACTCGCTGGGGGACCTCAGCATGGCTGACGGCGCGCCCAACGTGGAGAACATCCTCAAGATCGGCTTCCTCAACGACAAGGTACGATTGGTGAATATAACCGCTCATCCTGAAGGAGTGAGGAAGAGTCTGATTTTATTAGAGTCTGTCCAAGAATGAAAATCAGTTTAGGTCATCTGAAGGGTTTCAAGAAACTTTCCATGGGAGGTTAAACTGGGGAATTTTGGAAATATATTTGGAAATATTCCATGAGAATAACTTAGATTTAGCATCGATTTTTATATCATTTTTACAAGTTAGATATGAATACTGTTATAGAGCAAATCTATTTACCCCATAATATTTTCAGAACTTCCTTGACTCTCTATAATCGGTGGGTTTAAACGTCTGTGGGCTCCAGGGTTCGAGAAATCATCTGTCAATCATGTGCATGTAGGGGGTGTAGCCTCAATAACCTGCAGTAAGCAATGTGCTGTGATCATGTGACTGAGGAGTGGACTCTCGTTAAATCTGGTTGTTTTAGTCAAGATTATAAACAAGATATTTTCACCGACTATATTTAACTTCCTGTTGAGGGCCGACCTTCAGTTTTCTACATTTCAGATTTATTCCCATTTTTTTCTCATGGAAAGTTTCCAACTTTGAAAATTCCTGGAATTTTGCAGCCCTTGTCATCAGCCTGAGAACGTTTGTCTGAATCATTAATAATTATTTAGAATAATAACGGCTGAAGGACTGATCCCTGCGGTTCACCAAAGAGGAGATCTGACGTCACACTTCCTCTCCGATGTCTCTCTGCAGGTGGAGGAGCGACTGGACAAATATCTGGACTCTTATGACATCGTCCTGGTGAAGGACGAGACTCTGGAAGTGCCCAACGCCATCCTCCAGAAGGTTCTATAACTCGACGACACCTCACCCCTCCACTCCTATCACCCTCTACTGGACGGGGGAGGGGGGCGCTGCCGGACTCCTCACACCTCCTGACACTGGTCCAGATCATCTCTGTGTAGCCCCACCTGGATCACCTCCCCTCTTCACCTTTTTTTAAGACGTTTGACATCTCCTGAATGAACTGTTTTTAAGTCCTCACAGCAGCATCAGCCTGTCTCCGCTGCGTTCGCTCTGTCCAGTCATTTCTCATTTCCTCCAAACTGTTTTACAAAGAAGAAAAAAGAGTGAGAGAAACACCATCCCAGTCTCACTCCAGCTTTATCATTTGCACATTCTTGTCGGCATCGTGATCCATCGGATTATTTTTGATATAATAAAGTTTTATATCACAGTCGCAGGTGCACACAAACAAACAAAATAACAAACAGACAGTGTTTTCCTGGAGATATCCCAGCATGCATGAGGTGTAACAAAGCCCTGTTTGTGTGTCACTCAGCACATTAAGGACCTTATTATCAGAGTAGATTTAAAACCGTGTTGCCAGATGAAATCAGCAATATAACCACCGCCGAGAGAGTATTCGTGGACGGCAACAAATAGGTATGAAGATTGTTAAAGTGAGACTCAGACGGGCAGGTAAAAGGCACTTTAAGAGCGGACGCAGCCTGCACAGGAACGCATGTGGCAGTAGTTTCGATGTGTGGATGTAAGGAGATCTTTGACCCTGATGTGTTCGTTTGGTGACGAAGCGACTCTTTCCTCGTATGATTCGCTCCACTTTAGAGTTTAGAGTTCACCGTGTAGTTTAAGTACTAACAGTGAGCTCCAGTGGTTATTAGCAGGAACTAAAACAGTAAATATGCCTTGAACCAAAGGAAGAGTTGAAGTGTCGCGTAACTATAAAGTTAGCCGACTGTTTCAGTGAACAGAAGGAAGCACACTGTTGTTTGCGGCTCAATCAAACCCAGAGGAAGCTCATTTTTACTGGAAAGATGGTGTTTTTCATTCTGTGGTGAACGTTGAGCTCTACCTCTTAAATATTCGGTCAGAGAGTTTGTCGTTTTGACGCTACAACGCCTCCGTTCGTCTCATCTCGTGCTGAATGTTCTCTTTTGTGTTTTTAAATGTGCTGCTATCACCTGCATGTTGCCTTTTCTTGTTAAGTTAATGTCAAAGAAATGGGTGACGCTAATATAAATGTATATCAATAAAGCGGGGGATATGTCATGTTGTATATGTGGGTGTTAAATATACAGAAATGTATATGTTGTTTCCCTGCATCTGGAGAGGAGACCTCCAGAGGTGTAGACCAGACATATAGACCAGTGTGTTGTATTTTTATAAGCAGATGCTTTCTGTTGTTGTTTTCTTTGATGCTGTGATTTAAAACGCAATAAAATGTCTTTTTGTGAGCCGTGAGTGGATCACAGACTGGACAGAAACTGGGCTCACAAGGTTAAGGTGGTATTTTTCAGTCAAAGGATACAGATATCTCCATTTTGTTAATCATTGTACACGCAGTTACAGTCTCGATTTATTTAACTTTAGTTGTTTTTTTTTTTTGAAAAGTTCCAGAAGTTTCCAATCTGTCGTTACAAAACTAAGTTACAACCCCAAATATGAAAAAGGGATTTCATGGTTTCTACTTTGCCTCAGTCCACCTTAAATTGGCTCAGAGACGTGTCCAGCATGTCTAAGTCATGTTTCTGTAGAGTTGTTTTTTCGCACGGTTCACTTTAAACATAAATTTGTGAATGACCTGCATTTACAGACTTTTTTAAGTGATTTTGAGCCCATGCGGTGACTTCCACTCCAGAGTCATGTCTATTTTTGATGCTCACATGGTTGTTCGGTGTTGTTTTCAGATTTATTTAATTTTTCTGAATCTTTTAATGATATTTTGTGCCGTAGATGATGAAATCTACTGATTCTTTGAATAGTTATTATTGAATAGCCGATGTTCTAGTTCTTGAATGCACAGACTGTCAAACTGCTCAGTACTTGGACAGGCACAGTGAGTCAGTGCAGGGCTTTATGAGGCTGCAGTACCAACTTCTGTCCACCAGGTGTCACTGTTTTACAAGAAATCTCCACAGAAGTTTGGAGACAGTAATGAGAAGGACAGGAAACTAGACGACGTGGCATTTTGGAAATTCAGAAACGGTGGGCTGGAGAGGACTGACGTGCGGCTCGTTGGTCTAGGGGTATGATTCTCGCTTAGGGTGCGAGAGGTCCCGGGTTCAAATCCCGGACGAGCCCTACTTTTACAGAGATAAAGCTTGTATCTGGACATAAAATATCAAAAATCATAAAGTTAGTGTGCACAAAAAGGGGGGCTACATGACAGTTTGCTGTCCCGGGAGCAGACACTAACTTCTCTCTAATAAGGGACCGACCAGAAACAGTCTATGGGAGTGTCACATAAAGCTTCACCTTTTTACTCATTTATTTTACATATAGAAGCAAAACAAGATGAATTTATTTGTGCACCTATAATTATATAAAAAAGAGGTTTTAAGTCAGAGTGTTTGGACCATATTCCAATCCTAAAAACCAAATATCTCTGACAGAAATTACACCATCCCTGCTTTGGTTCTTTTCTTTTTGGCAGTTATTTTGTAATATTTTATCATATTGTTATCCAAAGAGGAAAAAAAAAACGATTAGGCAAAATCTTAAAAAAATATATAAAACTATTTTAAAAATTAAACAAGGGGATTTTTTCCTCTTTTTTTTCTCGGTTTATCTTACCTGAAGAGTTAATTTATCGCCACAACACCCTCAGATCGTCCTTTAATAGTCGATTTTTTTATTGCAGTTAAAATTCCTGGATGATATTTGATTTAGTTTGACAAAAACAGATTTGACAGTGTTTTTTTTTACCTGCTGTTTTGGTGAGAAAAAGATGTCCTACAGGAACACATGACCTCTCACCTGTGAGAGTTTGCTGCAGTACAGCTAAGCGCCGCTAGAGGGAGTTCAGTCACCACATCTCAATCACTGCTTCATGTTTTCTTCAACTGTACAGAGAACGTGGCAGGACCATGACGGTCTGGAAGTCATAATTAAGCCTTTTCAGAGTGTGCCTCGTTGGTCTAGGGGTATGATTCTCGCTCAGGGTGCGAGAGGTCCCGGGTTCAAATCCCGGACGAGCCCTAAACCTTTAGATATACGTGGCAAAACCTATAATTAGCTGACGTATCACGACACAAACCACAGGTAATTACTCTAAAACGTGGCCTATTCTATCAGGAATCAAAACGGCGGCCCTACTGTGTTTAATGACACAAGTCTAAAAACTGAGTTGAACAAAATCAAAGCATGAAATGAAAAATCCCAAACATGTTTCACTTGTAATCTTGAAATGCAAAATTGAAAACATAAAAATTAAACACCAAATATTTTCCCCCACATTCTTGACTATTTATCAAATCTTCTTACTGCCCCAGATTTTCGTGGTTTATTAAGGACATCTTAATAATGGTGCTAAAGTTTACATTATTATACTAGAAGAAATCTCACCTGTGAGAGTTTGCTGCAGTTCAACTAAGCGCCGCTAGAGGGAGTTCAGTCACCACAGCATCTCAATCACTGCTTCATGTTTTCCTCAACTGTACAGTGAACGTGGCAGATATACGACCGTCTGGAAGTAGTAATTGTGCTGGGAGAAGTGTGGCTCGTTGGTCTAGGGGTATGATTCTCGCTTAGGGTGCGAGAGGTCCCGGGTTCAAATCCCGGACGAGCCCCTAAACCTTTAGATACAGGTGGCATAACCTATAATTAGCTGACGTATCACGACACAAACCACAGGTAGTTACTCTAAAACATGGCCTATTCCATCAGGGATCAAAACAGCAGGAACTACTGAGGTGGGATTACTCCATGTAACAGATTTACACTCCATACTGAGTTTCACATACTAGATTTAAGAAGCAGACTCAATTAAGAAGTATCAGATTTGATAAGAGATCAGAGAGTTAGACTGTTTTTTCATTATTGGTAATCTAGCAAACAAAACAATAAACTGATCACGTTAATATATATATTTTTTGTTTGTGTATCACTTTAAAAAAAAACAAGTTAACAAAGTGCTTTGACATGTAGTCAATAATAAAAACAATCATTACTTTGGTTAGATTCAATTTCTCTGATATTAACACCTATACAAAATAATCTATTCATTTGAAATAAGGAATCACGTCTAATAAAAAAATAATCTCCTAGAGTGTTGTAAAGTGAGTTTCAGTGAATAAAACGGTAATCTTGAAGTGAAGGACTCAATTTCCCATCAGCCACCGAATTCAAATTCCGCTCCTGCGCAGAAGCCCCGGCTTCTCCGTTGAGCGTCAGTGTCATGACAACAGGACGATGGCTGCGAGCGAGGAGCTGAGAAATGTGATTTTTGTGTGAAGGAGGAGGAACAAACCGGCTTCTTCTGCGGACTGGCTGTTAAACACGAAGGTAAGGAAACTCCGGGAACAAACCGGAGTCTGTTTGAGGTTGAATTAGCGACGACAGCGGTGTCGACCCGTGAGCTGCCGTTATTATCCAGGTAAGTTGCAGAGCTAGCTAATTAGCCGGGTAAGCTAAAGTTAATTTAGCCGTGTTGAGGTTAGCTGCTACAGGCTGACTTCTCTGTGCGGGATTATAACGTTTGTTACCGGATTAGAACCGACTTTAATTATATCTTTGATCAGAGAAACGGATTTAAGTTGAAGTTTAGCGTTTGTGGACTTATTTACCATCAGGAGTCCTGGTGGGTGTGGATTAATGAACCCACAGGTGTGTGTTCAGGTGTTAAAACAACTGAACTCACAGGTGTGTGTTCAGGTTCAGGTGTTAAAACAGCGCCAGAGGATAACTAAGAGAGGGCTGCAGCAGATACTGTCGTTTCTAACTCCTCTGAGTCTGTACAGCCCTCCTTCACTCTTAAACCTCAATTTCCTGCATTAAGAATCAATAAAGTTGAATTCTATTCTATTCTATTCTAAAATCTCAATCATGTCCAAAAACAGGCAACTGGACTGTGTAGACTGTGCCTGTTTTTGGAGTCTTTAAGTCTTTAAGAAAACCATGACCTGGATGAATGAGAATCTACATGGACACCTCAGTCGTGCTTGTTTTCAATATCTCAAATTTGCAGATTATCTCCAACAACAAATGAAGAGTTTAGGGTTCAAACTATTAAACAAACTAAGACAAATAAAACAATAACTGTATCTGTAATGCACCATTAAAAACCAGTGTGACTCAGGGCCAGACAGAGACATCTAAAAGAGACAAAACCAGCAGGAAAAACAGTGATATTAATAAGTTAAAACAAGTTTTAACAAGTTAAAGCAGCAGAGAAAGTCTGGTGAAGAAAGTGAGGATTGAAATGAGGACAAAGACTCAGCTGACCCTGGAGTCTGGACATCATTCAGGGACATACAGAAGGTTTCTGCAGAGGATCCAGGTCAGCAATCACGGAAATAAAAGGTTCAGAGGTCATGAGTGGGTGATGCTGGACCATGTGGGACTTTAAAAATGAGAAATAAAACCTTAAAATCACTCAGTGAATAAACTTAAATAAACTTAAAAACTTCTGCCTGATCTAATATAAAAGTTTAACAAGTAAGATTATGTTTATACTGGGTGAAACATCTCCCACTGAATAAAACTGACCAAACCAGCCTTTGTTCACAAAAATAAAGCCTATTAATTATATTTTATTATCCAGTTTTAAAAGATAATGTTGATGTTAGTAAATGTGCTCATTCAATTTTGGAGAAGCATGTTTTTAGATATGAGAAATTTGACCCCCAGAGTCTTTACAGAGACACCAGTTGGACACTTTTGCTCTTTGCAAGTATCAAGTAAGAACGTCTGGACATTTATTTTGTAACTGGATGGATTTGATAGACTCCCGTGAGTGTTGGTGCACAAGTCAATGGAGCACAAAGTCGTGCAGATAGCGTCAGGATGATGGAACAGTAAGTCTATTAGTCTGATATAAATAAAGTTGTCATCACAGGTAAGTCGTCCTGAGGAGTGATCTGCACCACTTTGTCCTCCAGTTTTACTCTTTTTTCCTCTTTTTAAACTTCCTAAAAACCTCCTGAGTGTTGTGTGACAAACTCAATAAAAACAACACCTGCAGGATTAATCTCACACTCCCTAAAACCATCTAAAGCTCCCGTGTCTCTCAGCTGTTCGTCTCTCACTGCTGTAATTTGGCGTCGCTCTGCCCGTACGAGGGATTCCTCCTCTGGATTAGCTGCCTGTTCCACCTGCTCAGCACTAAGCAAGAAGAAAAGCTGCTTGCCCCCACCTTCTCCCTTCCTCACTTCCCCATCAGCGCTCACCCTCAGGATCCTGAGGTCATGTGACTGGACTTGTGGCCTGCTATTGGCTGCAGGTATCTGTGTGGTGAACTGAGAGTCTTCAGGGCCAAAGAACATTGGGGTTAATGATGCTGAAGCTCTTTGTCATTTATCGGCTCTTCGTATTGCTGCATAAATCAGAGCTGCAGTTATTATTCAATTTAATGACCTGAGAAAATAACTATGAAATATTTAGTTTATTGACTCATCTGTGATTTTTCAGGTAGAAATGTTGAAATTATGATTGATTTTTGTTGCTGATTTGCTGCAAAAAGACATTAGAAAATGTGCTTTTGAGATCTGGAGAGTTTGATTTTCATTTTTCACAATTTCTATGACGTTTAATACACAAAACAGTTTATTTGTAACAATATATGTCATTTTAATGATCACATAAATAAG